AGTAGCTCTTTTGCCGATAGGTTTCTATGGATGGCAAGAAAGTTGGATAAGGTGCAGTTACGGGTTTTTGCGTCCCTCGCTTGGGCAGCATGGCACTGCAGAAATACAGCTATTTTCGAGAGCGAACAGGGGTTGGATGGAGTTAGGGTGGCTGCTGGGTTCGTACGGTTTAACGAGGATTACAGGAGCTATAACAAGAAAGTAAGCGCCTGTCCTGGTGTGCAGCATATTACTTCGGCATCTAGAGTGATGAATGGGGGTGGTATTTGCTTTGGAGTGGCAATACGGGATGATAAGGGTGTGCTGTTACTTGCTGCAGTACAGCGCCTAGACGTATGCTGGCCTGCTGATCTTGCCGAGGCTGGGGCAGCTCGGTATGGGTTACAAATTGCTCATCGCTTTGACTATAGGAATGTGGTGCTGGAAGGAGATGCTGTGAATGTTATGTGTGCAGTCCAAAGTAAGCAACTGGGTGCTAGTCCAATGTATTGAGTTTTAGGTGACATCTACCGATTGAGTTCATCGTTTGATTTCTTTCATTGTAAATTATTTGTAATCACATTAGAAGAGCGGGTAATACCGAGGCTCACTTAGTTGCTAGGTGGGATGTTGATGTTAATTCGGAACGTATTTGTACTAGTGAGTTCCTCCAAAGTATTCAAACTTTGGTTGATCTCGATTTGATTTAATAAAATTGTTGCTCGCTTGTCTTCAAAAAAAAAAAAAAAAAATTAATTAACAATGATGTTAAAGGAGAGATTTTGAGGGGTGATATTATATCTTTGATTATTTCTAATGGATTATTGATGTTAATATCTGCCATTGTTGAGAGATTTGAATATGCCAAAATCTCGAGGTAAGTAAGCTGGAAACCAGAGGTGGGATTTTAAAGAGGAGGGACACGGTTTGTATATGAATTACCGACGTAAGATTTATCATAATAATTAATAATGTTGCTGATAGATTTTTTTTTTTTTTTTTTTGGGGGGGGGGGGAAGGGATAAATACAAGTGAAAAACATGATACGAAGTATATAATACGGAGTACATAGAAGCTATGTACAAAGAGCTATGGAAAAATATCGTAATAGAATATACGAGTACTTTACGAACTAGAAGAGGTGATAAAATCATCAAACAATGCAACATCAAAATTGTTTTTGGTTGAGTGTATGAGCAATTTAACGTTCAATATTAGTGGAGGGTGTAAATATATTGGCATTTTATTTAGTGTTTCGAATAAGTGAATAAAGAGTGAAGTGATTTTTCATAGTGATTGTTTGGTTGACAAAGAGGGAGGTGAAAAATCATGGAAATTAGTAACTTGAAAATTAATGTTTTGCAACTAAGAAATTTGTGATTTGATTGATTGTTGATTGACTTGTAATACTAATTGATTGGAAAATTTAGGAAAAAAATATAATTTATGAAGTTAATTGATTGTAATCAAAGATGATGAACTATCCCACATAATTCAAATACATTTTCGGATTGTAAAGGTCAGATCACAGAAAACATCAATCAATCAATAAGAGTGTTTGGCAAGGTAATGGTGTGAGTAGTGATTAGTGGTAGAGGTAGATTTTCTCAAACGTTAAAAATAGTAGCGTTTAAGAGTAGCAGGTAACGTTTGTTAATTTTTGGTTACTTATTTTTTAACAATTTATATTATTATTAATATATTTTAACCGCTACTTTTGCCAAACATCCATACGGCCATATTATCAACCGTTACTTTGACAGCTAACTCTGCCCACTACTAATTGACAACCCGAAACCTTAACAACTACCTGCTACTCGACCGCTAAAAGCTACTCGCTACCGCTAGCTTTGCCAAACAGGGCTATGCTAAGATTTTAAATTCTGCCTTGCTTGGGCAAGACTTTGTTTTAGGCTTTTTGGATTAATGTTAAATAGGGCATATAATAGTGTAGTATTTTTCTTTGTAAATAGATATGTATGCTATTGTTGACTTGAAATTATTTTTATTTAACTTAAATTATTTTACTAAATTGAAAATATATTTAAAAATAAAATTTTTATACTGATTAAAACTTATTTTTACTAATTAAAACTTATTTTTACTAATTCTCTATTTTCTTAAAAATAATTAAAAATATATCAAGATCTATAGGATGTTTATCAAAAGTTGTAATTAATTTTGTATATATGAAAAAGAAGTATATCCATAATAAAACTCTATTCAAAATTTTTTTTTATCTTAAAAAATCTATTCAAAATTCGTTTACTTAACATCATATGTCTCATATAATAATACTTATTTGTCATTGATGTGGCGCAACATTTGGCGAAAAATTAAATTGACTGCGAAATCTGGCTTTATTTATTAGTGATATGATATGATACAATATATACTTGGTTGAGCAATGATATGATCAAGCTTTTACAGTTTTACACTAGATTTTATCATTATAAGTATGTAACATAACTTATCTTTTTACTTCAAAATTTATGCTTAGGGTTACTGTCATTGATGATGTCCACAGGCCGAGTTAAATTAGGATCCCAAATATAACATTTACTCCGTAGCATAATAGTATTGATTCTTTCTGTTTCCCAAAAAAAAAAAAAAAAAAAAAAAAGATATAATTCAGATTAAGTCCATTGGTTGGGTCGATAAACTAGTACATGTACCATTTAGAGTTGGATTAGTCAGTAGCCATTTAGTTATCGATTTAAAATAGCTTTAAACATAGGAAGTACTCCGTAATTATTAAATACCTCAAATACATACGTGTGTTTCCGTTTGTCTAACTATTTCATAGGTTTCCTCAAAAAAAAAAAAAAACTACTTCACAGGTTTGAATATTATTTATCGTTAATTATACTCTGTCCGTATTTCTTATTCTTAAAGTCCTTATTCTTATAGTAAATGTGCTATTTTTGTTATACAAAACGATTTATAGTGCACCTTTTTTTTTTTTTTTTTTTGAATAGATGTATACTGCACTTATGCACTCAATAATGTGGTAACTATAATTTTGCTACAATTTCTATAAATTTGCAAATGGCCTTCCTTTTGTTGTGGCGTCACGATTTTTTTGTACCTACAATGGCTACAAACTATCACCTAGAGCTCATTTTGCGTTTGATTCATGCACTTGCACTGATAAAAGAAGCAATTAACCTAATGCAATTTTGATGACCTATTAAATAGATAAATCATGCAAAACATCACATGCTAAGTACGTAATAACCTCCAATTTCCATAATATATAAATCAAACTTTTGGACCTTCAATTCATATCAAACATAAATCACAAAATCATTAAATTAATAACAAATCAAACAAAAAATTAGAAGAAATGGCAACTATTAGCATGAAGTCCTCAACATCATCTTTCCAAAAGATGGCTATGGCTATACTAGTAGTTGCACTAGTGGTGCAACTCAAGGGCTCAATGGCCCAGTCTACACCTCCGAGCGCATGCGCCTCCCAGCTTGGTGGTCTAAATATGTGTACGCCCTACGTGGTTCCCGGACAAGCCAACACGAGCCCGAGTGCCGAATGCTGTGGGGCCCTCCAAAGTGTGAACCATGATTGCCTTTGTAACACCCTTAGGGTTGCTAGTCAGCTGCCTGCTTCTTGCAACCTCCCCGTTCTAAATTGTAGTACGTTCTTTTCAACTTTTATAATTTCAATTATCTTTAAAAAAAGTTTAGTGAATACTTTTGTAAAAATAACTCATTTGATATGAAAATTTTTAATGCAGGTAACTGAGCTGGAGAATTGCTGATCAAGAAATAAAACATCAAGCTTTGCTAATTTCCCTTTTAATTTATAATTTTATCTGTTAAAATGTGCCAACGAACAAGAAAATTGGGCAGTTGGTCACGGAAATGTGTTTGAGGGAGAGAGAAGAAGCACAATATTATAAAGTGTGCCTTTACTAAATAATTGTACTACCAATATATGTATGTAATTCCTCATTTATGGGAATTAACACTTTATATTATCACTTCTTGCTTTTATATTTTTCCATTATTTGATTTTCTTTTCGGATTTATTAGTCGTCTATATCGCTCAAAACTACACCCCAATATATTCTCAGCTCGTACTTTATTATGGGTATGTTCCACTAGTGATGGTGCGGATGTCAATGAAGTAGAGTGATGATGATGAGGTAATTAGATGTTGATCTCCTAAAACCGTACCCACCTAGCTCCTAAAAAAACCAAAAAAAAAGTATATACACTTACAATTGGGGTTGAAGTGTAATAGAAATAGATATTTCATGTTTTGCGGAAATTAAAACATTAAAACAATGGAATAATTAAGTAAAAGTGCAAGAGAGAGTTTTATGTATGTGAAAACTCCTTGTGCTCAACAAGAAGAAAAACCACACTACCACATGAAAAATATTAGTCAACTTCACTAAATCAGGCAACTACTCTATTACGGCTTATTGGAATTCGATAGCTTAAGTTCAAAGCTAAGTCTACACCGAAGCCTAATCATAAGAGCAAGTTAGGGTTAAAAAATGCCCTATGAAAATCTCTACTTATATACTTCTGGACAACGTATCAATATAAGATAAAAAAAGTGAATACTCGTAGTTAACAACTTTTTTGGGACACTGACTAGTTACGGAGTAACACACTAACACCCTACATGTAAATTGGAAGATCAATCAAGATTAACATGCTCATTAGAAAAGTTCAGTACTGTTAATTGCGTTGTCTATTGTATATACTCCCTCCGTCCCAATATATAGTTTCTATTTGTGTTTTTTCACGGTATTTAAGAAATTGGAGAAAAATTGGATAAAGTACATAAAAAAGGTGAAAAATACAATTTAGACAAAAGTTAAAGAGAAGAATTTTAATGAAGTACATGAAAAGAGTGAAAAGTATAATTGTCGACAAAAGTAGGAGAGAGAAAGTGAAAAAAAGTACAAGGTAAATAAAAATTTGAAGGGTAATTTAGGAAGTGTAATAAATAAAGAAAAAAAAGGAGGATGTAATGGTTTTTATATACTATCCAAAAATAAAAAAAAGGAACAATATTTTGGGTCTCTAAGGAATATAAAAAAATTAAAAATAAAAAAGTTCTAGTTGAACCTAGAGGTGCCAAAAACTAACCCGACTATCCGACCCGATCCAATCTAACCTGTAAAAAATTCGATTTAAATTTTAACTCATATTGACACAACAATTAACATGATTTAACTTTGAAATATATCCCACCTCATCAGACATCAGATCCATGTACCCGAATTAAATTGACTGTGCAATTGTCAATAGAGCTACATTGGGCCGAACCCCAAGAACAACACAATGCACAACTCTATTCTCTAGTTTTCTCTACTCAACAGTCAACACAAAATATTTCTGGAACTGTGTTTCTCCATTTCCACTACTTTTCCAGGATATAGAGAAAGAAACTGAAGCAATATTCATTGAAGTTCCAATTTTACGCCAATTCCAATCCAAGTTTTATCGACGGTAATCCCTTTTTCATAAAATTAAAAGCCCATAATTTCTTTTATTCTTCAGACTTTATCGAGTATTTGATTATTTACAATCTTGATAATATTTGCTTTCTTTCAATTTAATTTACATGTAATTATCTTCCGGAATTCTGGGATATTTTTGTTGTAGTTTGTTCAAACTTTATACCATGAATTTAGTTATAATTTCATATTATTGCGATTTTTGTATGGTGGGAACAAGTAACTATTCAATGTAGGTTCAGAATTCAGAAATTTGGGAAATTTATAATTGTATTAGGTTTATTCTTAGTGATTATGTGATAAATTGTTTGAACAATAAGTTTCTCAATGTATCAGGAAGTATAAAATTCTGAATTGTTTGAAGAAAAATGGAGAATGATAGAAAACCACCCCCAATTTTTTGTTTGAAATGGCCATGGGATAATAATGCCATTAGCCAACACCAGAAAAACCCTAGAAATAGTCCTTGTGATTTCGATACGCCGTGGGTCTTCAAATCATTACAAACCCTAGGAACCCTTTCTTTCAATTTCATTAATTCAATCTCAAAAACCCCTTCAAACAACAATTCCCCACTTAAAAGTTCCCTATTCTATTTTGCCGGTTTTTGGCAGAACAATAAAAGTAGCAATGAGGTTGATGTTAAAAGCCTCAATAGTGGTTTGGAATTGAAGAAGAAGCAACCTTTGAGAAAGGGTTTAACCCCGGAAGAACAAGCGGAAGCGGAGCAGAGAGCTTTTGCAATGGCATTGGCTAGTGGGAAAGAGGCAACAGTTCTTGAGTTCTATTCCCCTAATTGTAGACTTTGCAATTCGCTTCTCGGGTTTGTGACAGAAGTTGAGAATCGCAATGCTGATTGGCTTAACATTGTCATGGCTGATGCTGAGAATGAGAAATGGCTACCTGAGGTATCATCAGTTTATATTTAGTTTTTTTTGTAAGGAGCTTTTAGCTTAAAATTTTCCAAAATTTTATTATGTTACTGCATACTTTGGATTCAAATTACAGTACACAATTTTTTTCCAGATTGTGCTTGTGATAGAAAGGTAGGTTCAGTGTTAATTTTATCATGTGTTGTATAAGAAATTTAAAGCACTCAAATTATATGTTAGATTACGAACTGGGTAAAAGTTTAGTATTGTGAAACCTTAGGTTTTGAAGTTTGTGCACTTCAAATTTTCTAGTGTGGTTAGGTGCTATACTAATAAATATTTTGGTCAATTGTGGTATTTGCTAGTCTGCATTTCCTCCTTCATAATTAAGCTGATATCATCTAAGTACTAACTGTATTTTGTGAGCAAGGTATTTCACGGTCTGTTATAAATGCAGTGTGGGATGGAAGTTCCAGATGTCCAAACGGATTCTTAGGGCGTTAGGTTTATAGTTTATTGCATTGATTTTTTGATTGAAAACCAGTAAATGAATTGTTAAGTGTTGAGGAATTGGCTACATTGTGATGATCAGCAAGTGGTCAGATCATTGATCTGCTTCTGTGAAATTTCTTGGTTTATCATGAACTTTGCCCATCTTATAGCTGTTTGTCCCGTCTTTTTGTGAATAATCTTCTGATGTACACAAAATTTGCTGAAATTTTACTACGCGATGAAATTATATCTCATGGACAAAGTAGGGTTATAACATTATGCTTTCTGGCTTAGGGGTAGCTTATACAAATCAACTTCTGACTGTCGGCGATAATGTGCTGTAGTATACTTTCAGGATGCTCTTGTAAAATCCTTCAAACTTTTATTTCTTTCTTTGTGATGTGTATTTACTCTAGTATTTTTGTTGCTAGTTTATACCTTGGTTTCTATGCATTGCACAAGATTTATCTAAATTACAGCTAGCACTGACTATTAGCTTCACGTCTAATATCTTAAATTTCTTAATTGTACATCGTATTCCAATCTCAATAGATTGGTTCTGGTCTTCTGTTGCTGTTATCAGTAAACACAAATATTTTGCTTAAGCATTATGTAAAAAAGTATAATCTAAAAATTGCTTGTTTTGTTTGCACAAATCCAACATCCTAGTTACTGGATCAGCTTTGCTTATCCTTGTGTTTCTGTTGGTGCAGCTTCTTCATTATGACATAAAATATGTTCCTTGCTTTGTTATCATGGACAAGCATGGGAGGGCGTTGGCTAAGACTGGTGTTCCTAGCAGTAGGCTACATGTAGTTGCAGGCATTTCCCATCTTCTGAAATTTAAACGTCCTCAACAGCATTGAATACCAGAATTTAATATGCTCAAACACTGTATACTGGATTTCTATTTCTCATTGCTCCTCAACATTATCCATTGGTGGTAAATTTATCTTAGTGATCATATGTCTAATATCTTGAATTTTTATGCTCCTTACTCTCTTTCACTATAACATTTTTTGGAGTTTTCAATTTTTCATAGAGTGCAATAGCTTCATTATTTTAACCAATGTATTATAGTATGGACGTTATAGTATGTTGCTGAATACTTTGTCTATATGCCACAAATCACAAATGATTGTATATTTAATAATCTTTTCTAATTTCTTATAAAATGATTTATAAGATATTGCAAGTTAAATGTATTTTCTAGGAGTGCTATGATCCGACCATAGTTACTCCTTACATTTTTTTTTCTTTCTTAGTGTTACGCATTGACCACCACATAGTTCTAGGTAGTTTGGTTGTCTTTTATATATTAAAATGTGAGTGATGTTGTTGGGGTATTAAAAAATTATAAGAAAAGATACTTGAGATAATAGTTTATTAAAAAGTATGGGATATGAGAGATGATGTATATCTTAAAAAGGAGTAATGGGTATGTGTGGGGACTGGGGAGTGGGGACCATAAGAAGAGAGATGTAATATAAAATTGTAGTAATTTGCCAAAAAAGAAAGTGTAACACTTTAAAAAAAACACACATTAAGGAAGTGTAACACAGAAAGAAAAAAAAAAGGGAGTATTACATATGGTTGTTCAATCTGGTGGGTTGGATAACTTGATTTCCTTTTTGTTTACTCTCCCCCTTTTTTATGGTTTAGTTCTATTTCCCTATTTACTGATGCACTTGTTGTTACTCATATGTTTTGATCTTTGTGACTTTGTCTTACATTTTGACAACATAGAATCTTGGCTTAAGATTTTATTCGACGTGTCTGAAACAACATTCAGGATCCTGACATATGATAGAGTATTAGTATGTTGTGGACTTTCTGCTGCCATTTAACCAGAGCAGATTAGGCGCTGGTTCGATTACGACAGGGTTGATATCCTTTCCCTTAAATTCGTCCTATGCCCATATCTAACATGTTAGTTCCTCTAGCTAGCTTGGCTATTTTTCATGTTTATATATTTATTTTTTATTTTTATACAATTATATGGAGCATGTGAGATCTTCAAAGGTAGATAATGTAAAGAGACAAACTGCTATTATATTGGGCTCGTTTTGGTTATCCAAAGCCAGATTATTCTATATTTCCTATTCTTTTTACCTCTCATCTCATTGCTTTCTTTTTAAATTTTAAAAGAGTGAGGTAAATATTAAACCTTTCCTGTTATATCCTCTTTGCAGAAAGTAATGGGAGTAAGGGTTGATGAGCTGCCTAATACCCTTGAGTTACACTGTAAGCCTCTCTGGACCTATGTCTTATGATGCTTTCATTTGATTGTCAAGAACATGTGCAAATGGTTGAACTAGATCAGAGTTAATCATTGTCCGCACCATTACAAAAAGGAGGGTTTATTTCTGCTCGAGGCATGGGGTTAAATCACAATTCTTGAAAAAAAAAAAAAAAAAAAAGTTGGCCCAAAGCCCAAAAATTTGGCCGCACTGGATCAGGCTAGTACAAAAGTAATCTGAAATGCACTTCGATCAAGCTCCATCACAAAAAATGGCCTAAGCGCCTAACCGTTTAGGCCAGGCCAGCCAGGCTGGTTGTGATCCACCTTAGGTTCAGCATATCTTATATACGTAGTATATATTTCCTGAATTTGGTTTATCGTGTGGGTCTCTGCTTTATCTTCATTGAAGGTAGCAAAGACCAGGTTTGCATGGAACTAGTCAGATTTTCTTACACTTGTCCTTGTCCTTGTTTCACCCTGACGCCCTGTTGGTTGTACTGGTTCAAATGATTCCTGATTTATACTATTCCATTCCCAAACTAATTGTCTCGTTTCGAGATTTTACTTGAGTAACGATGGGTGGCACCTGGAAGTAAAGAGCATCTTATATGATGTAGATTATTTGGTCTGTTGCATCCCAAACACCATTTTACTGACTGTTATATTGTCTGATTCAACAGTATGAATGCATGATACATTGGCCAGCCATATGACAGTAACATAACAATTAGAGCTTGTGACCCACAGGTGATTCTTAGGTAAATATATTTGGAATCCAGTAGATTTCATTTGCATTTACCAATGATATTCGTTTTGCTAACACATGCTTGGTGGTGGTCACTGGCTAGTGTGCCGGTAGGCCCGAGCCAATTTATCTTCCTTAAAGAATGGATCTTGGTATAAATGTCCAACAGCCTGACCTAGGTAATATTTTGTGAATTTCTGAAATTGTATTGACGGAAAAATAGCCCATCAAGATGATACCATTTCCTAACCCAATTGCTTAATGGGCTAGGCACAGGCCCAGCCCTGCCCTGCCCTGCTCAGCTCAGCTCACCTCACCTCACCTCACCTCACCTGCACTATGATCAACTCTTGTAGTCTTGTGGAAATGCCAATATGAATAAGGACTAGTTGTAGAATACCCTGTACGTGCTGATGATGACGTCATAAGCTGGACCATAGTGCATATGTTTTTGTTTCTCATTTTTCTTACATTAGAACAAAGACATGCATTTGATTCTTAGCCAAACTGATCCTTAACTAGATCTCTTGGCATCTTGGCGCGAAACTTTAATAATTTGTTGATCTTTGCGTGTAATTAGTGAGTTGAGTTGTACTACTGTAGACTGTACTACTGTAGTAAGTTGAGTTGCATGTTTGATTATATGTTAGTGGGATGAAATGTTTATGTAGTTGCAAAATGAATAATTTGCTATCATACATGTAAATCTGTCTCATGATTGGCTTAGTAATTATGCAATGCTATCAATTTGGGACCCGAATTCTGTGGCTGTTGCTGTTGAAGGCCTTGAATCTCACAGGGATTGACACAACTTTTGGCAGATGAGTTCTTCCAAGTATCTTTTTGCAAGGGAGTAGACTAGAAGTTGACCTTCTTGCCCTACATTGGAGGACAGTTTATCCATAAAGCGTACACTGAAGCTCTTCAGGTGTCGGTAATCCCTTTTCACCTGCTTGTTTTATCTCTTTTGAATGATGCAGGTTATGTAAAAGTGTATAGCTTTAGAAAACCTGATCTCTGACTGAGTATTGTTTTCTTAACTTAGCAAAGATGCACTGAACTGCTAATATTTAGCTAAAATGAAAATCTGAGTGAAATCATTGAATAGGTCATGCGCAAGACCGTCTGAAAGAGTTGTGAGTTGTGTTATATTTTGTGGGAGATTGACTTTTGTACGTAACAGATACATATATGTGACATTGTAGGACATAGCTATGTGAATTGGAGGTATCTCCTTTGCCATTGTACCCCCATTCGACTGTCTTTTACAAAAATTTGCGAGAAAAATTTTCTCTCTGACTGCTCTCTCATGATAGATAGATGACAATATAGGACACAACACAGTGACTTTAATTAGGAGTGACTTGTTTGTCTTTGTATACTCGTCTTTTACAAAAAAGATTGCAAGAGCTTTTAGCTGGCTCCCCCACTCTTATTGTTTACATCCTAATTCATGAAATAAACACTTACGATTCGTCAAGGGTACAAGAAGAGTTTGTAATGAAATTTGATTAATAAGGAAGAGCCAAAAACATTGGTGCTAGAAAAGGACACTGATAAAAGCTTCTATAATTAGCAGTGCCTCTTATCTCTAGGATTATAGGGGGTGGCCACAAATAATCGTGTCTATAACTAGAGCCATAGAGGTATGGAAGGTGAAAACTACATTTGATCTCAATATGTACACTTATATGTATCCCCAAGGACTACATATGAAGTATAAGTTTGTACTCCTATGACGATTAAATCTTATTAAAGGCTTTCTAAGATTAGGGATTATATGATTTTAAACTCTTGATTAGGGATTACCATGAGCCAAGCTGATTCGAACTCAAGGTCCAATGCTTCTTATCCCTAGGATTATAGGGGATGGCCACAATTTATCGTGTCTATAACTAGAGCCATAGAGGTATGGAAGCTGAAAACTACATTTGATCTCTCCTTCATTTCTTCAAATTTTGGTAACTTCATACAATTTTAATGATGGTTTTCAGGCTCTCAACTTTCCTTCTTTATCTCCTGTATACTCTTATGTATCCCGTAGTACTACATGCGAAGTATAAGTTTGTACTCCCATGACGATTAAATCTTATAAAAGGCTTTCTATGAATGGTTGAATGTGATTTCAAACTCTTGATTAGGGATGATCATGAGCCAAGCTGATTTGAACTGCACTATGGTTTAGCTTGGTTTGATTTAGATATAAGAGTTGGAAATCAAGGTCTAATGTCCCTCTGAACTTTTGTCATATACAAAGTAATTGATTATTTGAGCCCTGGGGTAAAGGATGGATAAAATCTAAAAACAAAAAAACACTCAATCACCATTTAAGTTTGAGCTCGTTTAATACTCTCTTCGTACCTTAAAGTCTGACCCTTATGGCTAAAATTTAGTCCCAAAATTATCATCCCATTTGCATTAAAATACCCTTCAATTTGCAACAAAATTTGTGCAAATTTAACTTCCCCATATGAATTTTGTTTTTCCATGTAGTTTTTATTACTTTCTCTCTCTATTCTTTTGCAAGCCTCATGTAAATTTACCTTTTCAATGTACTTTTATTACTTATTTAAGTTTTTTAATTCTCGTGAAAATTGCCCATAAGGGTTGAAGTTAAAGGGACGGAGGGAGTATTTGAACTAGGTGTATTATCTTAAGCTCGAGCTTGGCTCATGAACTGAGTTTTAATTGAACTGATTTACAGCTGCTCTTAGTGTAGCTTTGTTCATGTCAACCCCTTAGAGCTTATGTATTGATTATCAAGGAAACCCAATAACTTAAGAGTGCATGTGTTCTCAAATAGTTGTGTTTATTTGAAGATTTTGAACATGACCCCTTAATTATGCAATTGGTTACTCTTTCTCCTAAATTTCACGGACTTTTATTCTAGCTAACTCGTGTGTTTCCTCATAACTCCTTTTTCTCTGTGATAGCTATTAGGGGTGAGCAAACCGGATACCCGGTTAAAATTTTAGGAACCGGATCCGAAATTGGTTAGAACCGGGTCCTAAAATTCGGAACCAGAATTGGATATGGTTCAATTGGGTCCTAAAACTTAGGATTTGGTATTGGAACCAACGGGTTCCGGTTCCGAGTATCCACATTGTAAAATTATAATATATATTATAATACTTATTTTAGTCTAATTTTATTTTAGCGTTTAACACTTGTATTTATATATGCATGAATCTATTTTATTTATATTAGGTATTAATGATATTTTTTTTTATTTTACTAACTAGATACATTCAACATAATTTTATTTTTTAAAATTTATTTAGTTTAATATAAATTGGGTAACCGGGTACCCAACCGGTTCTGGGTCTAAAAAATTGAGAATCGGAATTGGAACCGGTTGCAACCGGTTCCTTAATTTTTTACCCGGAATTGGAACCATCGGGTCCAATTCCGATTCCAATTTCGGGTACCCAAAATTTTTGCTCACCTCTAATAGCTATGACCTAACTCTCCCATTTTATTTTGGTGTCTCTTCATTCAATTTTTGTAAGAAAATAGGAAACTTATCATCAATATTTTGTCATGCATTATCTATAACAATAATTAACCCTTGATATCGCTCCCCAGCTCATATCCTTTGAGGTCTAGGAATTAAATTTCATTGGACTCATTTGAGGGATTTCTCCCCTTAACTAAGTCTCTTTCTTCTTACCATTAAAATAAAAAGTAACGACTTTTGATGACTTAACTTCTTTAATGCCTAATGATTCTATAAATTAGTAACCCAAATAAATATCTCACAATGTCAAGGGATTAAGTCAATGTAATGATAACTTTGAAAAAAAAAGTCATTGTAATGGTGGGAGAAAAGTGCCTCCAAAAGGAAGAATGACATAACACATAAGCATTTTCTACCTCCGTTTCTATAAAATTGCAACCATTTCCTTATCAAGTACTTCGTATGTTTATGACAAATAATAAATGAAAATTTGACATTTGCTATCAGCGAAAGAATCTTGTGTCATATTTGCTACCTATTTAATATTTTATTTTACTTTACTATCACCTAAATCCAAAATTATAGTTATCCGTTTGGGTTCCGTAAAGTAGGGCCCAATATTTCATTAAATAATAATCTAATTTATTAAAAAAAAATTCAGCCACCTCCCCCTCCCTCTCAGCCACACCCCCCTCCCCGTGCCGGCGCCCAAACGTTCCCCCGTCGACGCCCTAGACCTCTTCCCGTGGCCGGCACACCTAAACCCCTCCGTGCGGCACTCGTCTGTTTCCCCTAGCCCCTGAACCACGTTCCCTCACCCCAAAACCCCTTTCCCTCCCACGAAACCCTAGAAAAACCCTTCCCCTACCCTTGAAACCTCCCCATTGTTCCTCGCCCAGCCCCGAAACCCTAGCGGCCAGGGTTTTCGAGGGTGGAGGAAGAATGATTTGGGGGTTTCAGGGGTAGGGGATGGGTTTTTCTAGGGTTTCGTGGGAAGGAAAGGGGCTTCGGGTGGGGGATTGTGGTTTAGGGGCAAGGAGGAGCCGGTCGCCGGCGAGGGGAATGGGCTGGCCGGCGAGGGAAAGGGGGTGGCAGTGAGGTTTCGAGGCAGCGTTGATGGGGAAAGGGAGGTTGGACGGTGGCTGAAGATGGAGGGGTGGTTGGACGGTGATTGGGCCCCACTAACAGAAACGGCATAAGTCATCTGGTAGTGAAATATATATTTTTGGGAGGTAGTGAAGTAAAATAAAATATTAAACATGTAACATAAGGTTCTTTCGCCGGTAACAAATGTCAAATTTTCCAATAATAGGAGTAAATTACTTATGTTGTTTTTTTTTTTAACTCATATCAATCAGTTAATATCTTTAAAGATTTCTCATTACTTATAAAAAGAGAAAACGAAAAACTCCAGCGTGTGAGTTGTGACTTGTTTTGTAACTCCAAACATACACGTCTAGGAACAAGTGAATGTAAACTCGTGGGGAAGAAGAATGGCGAAACTCGTTGAAGATTGAAGAATACGAGTAGTAAATTCCTTGGGGATACCAAATACTAGTAATTTCAACCATATAAATAACTTTGATGATTGTAAAAAATTAAATTACCGCGTATATCATTTAATTGTCCAACAATTGCATTAAAAACTCTATAAAAATAGAGTCATACTAATATAATATGTGGGGTCAGTCGAACCTCGTCCTACTATTTCTCCCTCCCTTTTATAACAGAAAACAACCTTCTCCTTTTTTTTCTCTCTCCTAACTTAACAAACTTTTTCATCAACCCTTACTCTCTCACTCACTCTTTCACATTTTCTGATTTCTCAATTTCATTCTTTTACCTATGCCATGATACATTCCAATGGCTAAGTCTAAGCCTTCCAATTGGTTTAACCGAATCTTCCGCCGTCGTCGTAAAACCCTCTCCCCTCCGCCGTCCACCACCACTACCGTTTCCGAATCGAACTTTTACGGGGGAGAGGAGAATGACTCTATTGATGCCAATAAGCATGCAATAGCCGTGGCGGCCGCTACAGCAGCCGTTGCCGAGGCTGCTTTAGCCGCGGCAAAGGCGGCTGCCGAAGTTGTCCGCCTTACTTCCAATGGCCCTTCCTCTTCTCCCCTGCCGGGACAGGTCAGTAGTAGGAGGTGGTCGTTAGAGCATTTCGCTGCTGTTAAGATTCAGTCCGCTTTTCGAGGTTACTTGGTTAGTTATTCTTTTTAACAGTCTCAATTTTTTCATCCTCAAAATTTTAATACTGTATTCTTTTTGACAATTGTACAAATATTATTGTATTAATTCATAATATTACGTGGCGTGATTTTGTCATATAAAATTCCGGAGTATAGCATTAGTCATAATTCTTGGTTTGGTACTTTTTTTGGGGCATGGGGTAGTTAGTTTGACTTTGAATTAGTCGGTGAAATTTTGTCATTTTTGAGTAAATTTTTTCGTATGGGCTTTCTGAAAGTTTGCTCCTAGTAGTGACGATTTGCTCATTTGCATGTTTTTGAGCACTTACTCAACTTAGCTGTTTGACAACTTCTCTATTCATGAGTTCCAAGAATAAGCTCATTAAATGATATTCTTTCCTTGTTTTTCTTTTCTTTTCACTGACTTTTTTTAATCTCTTAATTTATTTAATTTTTATTTTTTCTGAATGACAAATGTTCAATACAAGTACTATATACTGTAAAATATAATTCTGAAATTTCATTTACATAATACATACAGTGTACAAAGTTTTTATATGATCAGCAATTTAGATTTTTATTTTCGTGTCGATTGTACAACGTTTTATGTAAAATGTTGGACAGAGAATTTTGTTTCGATAATGTATGGTTTCATGACCGTGTACGCGTTTCTATTTCTATCTTTTCTCTTGTAAATGAATCTCTTTTCAAGAATAGAATTTGCTGATCAATGACAAATGTTTATAGCAAGTTAATCGTGAAACACGACTATATAAATTTTCATTCATAATAAGTTATAACACATTTCCTGAAAAAATGTATATGCAAAGTACTGGTAAAAGTTTTATACACCAACAAAATTGTACTTAAAAGTTTTGTCTGAGACAAATTGATGAAGGTGGCTCCTTTCTATTTATGTATGACAACAAAAAATAAATGATTACTCTTAAATTACCACTCTATATAAATCTATTTTTTTGTTTATATAAATATATGTTTGTGATAATCTTAATTAGAAAATATGAAAAATTGGTCCACTTCATCAAATAAAACAAAGGAAAATATTTTGGCCCGTTAGTTAGTATAATAAAATCCATATATTTAGCAATTAATATTTCCATCCAAATAGAAAAGTAATTGGTCCCTTAGTATAAAATCCAATAGTTCTGTTTTTTTATGTGTCTCTTTTGGAGGAAAATAGTGGGAATCAACGTGTTTAGTAAGATCAAGTTATTAGTGGGCCTCTTATTTACTTTTGCTTTCACAGAGAATTAGTTCCCTACGACTCACGGCAAGACTCGGACTATCTTAGTATTATAATTGTCTTGTAACTCTTGTTCAATTTACATATACTCCGTTCGTCCCAAAATAATATTTCACATTATCATTAATAATACGAGTACATTTAAAATTTCATAAAAGATGATTGGGTGACATGTTCATTGTTGAATGGTAACTTATTGCGCATGCCAGTAACACCTGTCTTAAATGCGGATGATTGAATTTTTATCTATATAATTGTGAGTTTTGTACCAGAATTCAATCTCAAAGCTCAATCAAGTGGCATGTTTTAGACTAGTTAAGCCACACAAATATGATGTCTTAAAGTGCATAAAGTTAACATGTTGTCACTAAAACTTCGCTTCATTGAGATGGGTACTTTTCTTTCTTTACACACTTTCCTTTAAGCTTTTGATCTGCCTTCCTTTCTTTATTAATAATTGATCAGCCTTCGTGCTATAGAAGTACTCGTTATAAACATAATAGTTGTCATTTGACTCAAAGAGTACTACTAATAAACAAGTAAACAAGTGGTATTTAATTAAATTCCTACTTAAAGAGTAAAAGTACTTGGAAGTGTATGAACACTTCTACTTAGTCAAGATGACTTTGACCTTGGTTTTTTTTTTTTTTTTTTTTTTTTTTTTTGTGGTTTTGATTGGTGTAACACGTGATAATGTTTTGGAAAAGGAAAGTCATAATACTTTTTGTCTACCCCAAGGGTAAAATGGTAATTTTAACTAGGATAATAGGCCATTTTCACTGAAACTTCCATACCACCAACCTACTCTTTGTTAGGATAATTACAAGAGCTTAAGTTTGAGTAATATGGGACCGATCTGAGTTTCTGTGGCTGATATAGTCAGTTCACTAGTATTGGTAATGTATTGAGTACTAAGTTTTACTATTCTTAGACTTCTACTAGGGCCTCATTTATTTTGTTAGCTTCTACTACAGGCTTTTAATGTACTATAGTTTACATTCTTAATGGAGAATATATGCATTTAGGTAACAAATTAGTTGTGCTTAATTATAACATCCCAAGCAATCCATTAATATCGAATGAGAAACATTCGAAATTCTAATATTCTGTGCCTATGCTTTGCTCAATTGATATTTTGTTTGGAATGGAATTTAGTGCACAAGGGTTCTTGTGGTTTAAGTTCTTTATCACTAGCAAACATCAGTTTGTCTATATTTTGAGCGTGTTTTGTGCGTATTATCTTAAATTTTTTGTACAAGAACTTGATTAGCTACATTTCTGTCTTGGTGTAGAAAATTGATCTACTTTGTAATATGGACCAGCTTGTGCACGAGCTATACTTTATTAAGGCCATCATCGAATTGTAAATCGACATTTGTCATTTGGTTTTCCGGGGGGATTTCCCGTTTTTTTGACTTGTATATGATATGCATCCTTTCACTATAATGAAGCCTTTGGAAGAGTTTCAATCACATAAAAAAGCCCCATACCAATTCATGAATGTTAATATATGTGGTCCTTTAGAGTGCCTAAGCTCCTTCTAACTACCCTAGTTCAACTTGTATCTTTCAGTCCCTTTCACTTTTATAATTTTATTCAATTATTAGTGTAAATGCATCACCCACTTGGGACCTTTAGCATACATCATGAACTCATAAATGGTGTGAAAAATAATTGATTGTAAAAATTACCTTTTTTTGTCTTACTTGAGGGTTGCATTTGATCCCCACTAATTCTAATCTTCCTGTGATGTAAAAAAAGCTCCTTAAAAAAGCAGCTGTAACTGTAACTTACAGCTAATTCCCCTGTTTCCTTTTCCTATGATATAATTACCCTTTTTTTTATGCTTAAAGTAGAAAATGCCATTTTAGGTGTTGTAACAAACAAGGTTATCTCTTTTTTAAAACTTAAAAGCAATGCTTTTACTGCTTTTATTCTTCTTTTGGGATTGCCTCTTTTTCTCCTAGCATCAAATGAGTTGTAAATTGATATTTGCTCCTGTATAAATCTTTTTGGAATGTGTAAGGCAATGATTTCAGCCACCTTTACTCCAGTTTTGCTGTTAATTATGGACCTGTCAAATCTGACCCGACCTAATCCGTAGTAATCTGATCTGGACTTAAATTGTACCTGAAATTAGATTGCCTGGAACTGGATCGGAATTGACTGTAGAGTCGACACAATCTTATCCTCCGTAGTTAAGTGGTACTTGGTACTAATCTGTATCTGCCTTTTTTTTTCTTTCAAATTCCATGTATTTTGTGCCACATCTGGAACCTTTATAGATTTCAGGAGAACTTTATTGGATTCAGGGTTGATATGCTGATATTAACTTCTGATGATGCTTCAGTCTTCTGCAGTACTTTTGTTATGTTGTTTGGTTGATTAATTTACTTAACTGCATGCTGTATATTCTTTTAATCACTTTTGGGGCATGCTCTAAAGGCAAGGAGGGCTCTGAAGGCACTTAAGGGACTGGTTAAACTTCAAGCCCTTGTGAGAGGCCACTTTGTCAGGAAACAAAGCACAGACATGCTTCGACGCTTGCAAGCCTTGGTTCGAGTCCAGGATCGAGCTCGAGTTCATCGTGTACTAAACTCAGATTCACCAAATCATGTAAGGCTTATTCCAAAATCTTCTTCTCAATATTGTAATTCTAAGCTGCAACCCTACAGTCCTTTTGGGATAAAGAGTTGATTATGACAATTATTTCCTTGTCCTTTTGGGATGCAGCGCTTATTCAGTATATGAACACACAGAGAGACACGCCGCCACACCAAAACAAAGGAATTAAAAACAAAACGAGAGAAAACAATAAGAAAAAAGGATGTATATTTTGGAAAATGACAGAACCTAAAGGACTTGAACAAAATGTGCATTGCATTCTTTGGCTTGTTCTTAAGACCATATGTGATTACGGATGTCATTCTATTCATGATATTTGGTACTTGTTTAGTGTTGGATGACAATGCTTAATTCCTTGAATTGGTCGAACATATTTATGATTGAACTTCCTCTAATTTGAATCACCGTCTAACATAGATAAGTTTATATGCAGTATTTCATAATATCTAGGATTTACCCATCTACGAGTATTTTTTTATTTATTTATTTATGTATCTAGGATTTCATTAAACATAATTTGTGACTTCTACAGGACCAAGAGAATTCCAGAAGTTATGAAATCTGTGACACCAGTGAAAAGCTTGAGGATTCTCCTATCATCAAGGTTTATATGCTTTTTACAAACACCCTTAGTTTTTGCAAATTAATAGACCAAGTTAATGATTACAAATCAATGATTAATGTTTATAAATTAGAATGCTTTCTCAAAAAGAAAACCATTATAGACTCGTCTTTATTTATGTGTTAATTTCCAAGCTAAAAATAACCAATTGACATTGTCATGTACTATATATCCTGTTATGCAGAGATGTGGATCAATATCAAGCTACAAAGAGGCAAGGAGCAATGAGAGTAAAATTTCAGCTACGAATTGGGTAGATAATTGGGTGGAAGCTGGATCTTCGGTGAACAGCCAAAGCTCGATCAAGATTCTTCGTGCTGATGATGAAAAGAGCGACAAAATCCTTGAAGTCGACAGTTGGAAGCCTCACTCAAGGCCCAAAAAAACAAGAAACTTGTCATTCCAACAGCCTATGATGCAACACATTTCAGTGCAAGACTACCATAATCGCAGTTTTGCAGCATCTGATCACCTGTCAAGGTATTGCCTGAATGATCTTTACAAGCCCAATTCAAGTCCATGTGCAGAGGATGTTGCTTCAATGAAATCCCTACAATTTCCCCTCGAACCTTGCACTGCTGAGAGCAGCCCACCAGATCAAGCTTTATCATCAGCTCCTCGAGGATTTGGTAGCTCTAGAAGAAGTCCCAAGACCCCTTTGAGGCTTGAATATTCTAGCAAAAGAAGCCTATGGAATGGATATGCAAGTTTTGGAAGTCCTAGCTATATGGCTAACACGGAATCATCTCGAGCCAAGAGTAGATCCCATAGTGTGCCTAGACAAAGAGGAGATATTGATTTTGAGAAGCGTAGATCTATCAAACGGTCCCTTCACGCATTTTGGCAGTCTACGACTTCATCCAAAAAGAACTCAGACCCTTTCGCTGACTTGTGAAAATATTGAAAAGCCTAATAAAAGCTAAACTGGTTAATTCTCTTTGAGTTTAGGATTGTAACTATTGCAATGCTTTAAGAATTCCACTTACTTTGGGATAGTGTAGTTATAAACTTTTAATTATGGAGGTGTTCAAACATGATTATGTGGGTGTTTTGTTTATTAATGTTTTATAATTAGGTTTAAGGTTGTAAGTTTGTTCATAATCATGTTTGGATATTTTGATAATAGTAATATGCTCCGTAGTTCTCAGTTAATGAAGACTGAAGTTATCTACTTCTGCAAATAGGAGAAAAAAGTCTGTTATTGGAGTTGCCCAAAGACTTGTTTTGTTCTATTTTTGCATAGATTGGACCGTTGGATGCACAAAATTTTGGATGGATTCCTTCAAAAAAGACAATAAGAGATAAAAATTTTTGGCAATTTCTCTCCTCCATTCACACATGTAGAATCCATACAAGACTTTGGTTTAACGTTCTCTTTTGTCACGAAATTTCCTTTTCATCTTACGATGTTGTAAATGTTTTCCAATGAACCTTGTCACATTATGTCACGGTGGTATGTCACATTATGTCGTGCTGGTATGTTAACGAGTGTTGTACTCCTACATTGGTAATTACGATAAAATTTGTGGCCTGTAAATACATACTTTTTAATTTCTTACATAGTATTATACACAGCCATACAAGATCAAACATACTGACATATAATACATGCATAAGAGTTGTTGCATGAAATAGGATGCTACTCTGTAGTTAATAGCTGGCTAGTTTTCCAACTATTGTCCATTTGTCCGATAGAACCGGCCTTCTCCTATAAAAATGAAAAAATATATTGCATACTTATTTAATTTTTTTGTATGCATTTCATTTGTACTCGAGGTTGCTATTTTAGCTATGGCCTGGCCTTCGTTTTTATGGCAAAATCTTGCCCTATTCTTTAATTTCCCATTGATCAAACCGCTTGCTATTAGAGGCAAGACTAGAGTTCTCTTTTTGGATGGCTCGCACCTTCATATTTAGGCGCACACATTTAATCAAAATACTTTTGGAATCCTAGAATGTTGCCTTAAGTTTCTACAAATATGAAAAGCTATAGTTATATTACCAATTTTATTCGAATAGCTTCTCCAATCATTGCAATACAATTAATTTGATACACTCCCCCATTTTTAATTTTTTTTTTTTTTACGGAAAAAGGAGAAATATTATTAAACGGAGCTCAAAGTGTCATTGATTACAGTATTACAATATCTGTTGTATCGAGTAGAATTACTAGTATACCTTTATCGCATGCAATATATAAGTTAATTAGCACGATATGACAACATATATACTTACAAATCCAATCTAACATGATTACCCGACTATATAATTAGCATTAACTTTAATCGAATCACCGATTATGACTTTATGAGACCATAAGCTAGTACTAAGTGCTTGATTAGCAGCCTACGTTATTTCATCACGTCAAATCCCAACTTTTCAACAAGACAAACATTCTCAATGTAGACTGAATCTATCACTGCAGTATCACGGACTACCTGAAATATCTTCATTTTTTTTTTAGAGCAAATTCTGTATAATAATATTTCTTGGCGTTATATTTGGTGGGCAAAATTTGTCCTACAAATGTCTCCAAAATCTGTCCTAATTTGGGCATACCACACATGAAAAAGATTTGCACCGTCTTTAATGGCAAAAAAAACGCAGCAAATAAACAAAAAATCTAGACGTTGGATACCCACAAAAATCCATTTTATTATTTTGGCTCCCTTAGAAAATTAAATAACTAGCTTCTAAAATATGGTACAAAAAGGAATTTCACTAATTTACATTTGGACGAATATTATTTTGTCACGGATGTATGAAATTATGAATATTAAGGATTTTTCTTTACTCTTTTGTGCGTGTCCACCTCTTTTTTTGTCTATCAAAGTTTTGGCGTTACACAAGGAAATAAGGAATTTACTAGAGTTTCATGTAGGGAAGCTATTAATGCATAGTTTTGGCATGTGAATTCTCTCAACGTGTATGTATGTATTAATAAGTTTTAGACGCCATATAGGGGTGATGAAAGAAACTAGGGTACGCGACGCGAGTGGGGTGTAATGGCACTTTCATCGTCTAGGAATGTTTGGCAAATTATGGGACCGGAAGGTGTGAAAAAATCCAAGTAAGGAATCTACGACGAAAAAGGTGTATATGTAACTATGTCGATACTCTATTTGATAGTATTATAAGATTATTTAGCTCATTATATATCACAACAAATAATTAAAAATGGTAACATAAATATCCGATTAACTAATAATGTTATGGATATACTCTTTGAGTAAAGTTACAAAGATACAAAAACCGTCAAATACATTATCAAAGAGTCAACTACATACATTAGTTTATTAATAGTTCTAATGTAGACCTATGATCGTAGTTTACGACATTAACACATACCAAAAAACCAATCACACTGATTTATGAATGAAGGGAGTAATATCATTTAATTAACCTTGGTACTTGTCTTATACTTAATTTAATTGAAACTCCAAAATTTAATTAGCTAGACACGTATAATAACAAATTAATAGTCGTAAATCGTGATTTAAGGGAAGGAATAGAGTACTAGAGTATAAAGATGTGAGGCAAATCGCAAAGAAACAAAAGATGTCGTTGGTTGGTAATCCTCTAATTCCCGTACAAATGGGTGGTACAAATAAAAGAGTCACACGGCTACAACTCGAAACCTGAACCCAATTATGCCCCTCACACTCAATCAGCCCACCACTTGAAATATACTTGCAGCTTTTTGCATTTTGGGCCCACTTTTTTTTTACTTTCTCTCCAACCCAACAATTACACATCTTTTACTCTTTAAAGGGTAAAAATAAAAGTTTTTACAATTACACCTGTTTTTTAACTCCATATTGTGGACTATGGACTATAGAGTAATTGTAACATATTTTGAATGAGAGATTTTTGGTGACCGTCTAAGATTAACTTATTAGTCATGTATACATATTATCTCTTTGTATATTTCAAACAGAGGTTGTTTGTTATTTAACTGCTATTGTTTATTTGAAAAATGTATATGTAACTCTTCTAATGTAAGGGAAAAAATGATAAACGAGAATAAGTTTGTATGTGGATTCGTGTAGTTCCGTTATTCATATGCACATACTCTTTAAAACTATTTTATTTTCAAACATCAAGGAAATACTATCTTGAATAGGGGTTAGTGAGATGAAGATTGTACATGTGAGTAAGTAAGCCTCATAAAGCTCTTTATTGGTACCAAGGCTACATCCAAGTCTTCACATCTTGAGTCACAGGATGCTGCATAGCATGGAAATAGCAGTCTTTAGATACATAATCACACATGCGTTATAATTCATGTATAGACATTTCAAGTAATAAGATGTATTTTTTAAAAAAAATCAAATCATGTTACTTTAAAAAAAAATTAAAAAAAATATCAAATTTTGTTACATAATTACCAATAAAGTATTACCATAACCAACATTTGTTCCATTTCAAAGTGTGAGGCATTTATCCTAAAAATTCAATCAAGATTCAATCAAACCAAGAGATCAGACTAGACAAGAGACTTTTAAGTCCTAAAAAAAGACAACGCTAATTTAGAAGTCCGTTTGAACATAAGTTTAGTAGTTTCAAATTACATAACAGTCAACTTTATATAAGGTGACTTTTATATAATTTAAGTAACATAATATTTCAATATATAGAAGCATGATAAACCATTTTATTTTATTTTTTTTGAAGAAAGAAGCACGATAAACCTAGTTGTATGCAAGAGCTACAATTTATGCGCATATATGATACGTATGTACTCGTAGTATTTTACGCCTAAGAATCTAAGCTTTTTATGTGTATAATTAGTTGATTACATTACGTTTGAGAGAGGGAGAGAGAGAGAGAGAGCATACTTAGTGCAATCAATGGTGGGCTCAATGACAAAGCCCAAAGAAACTCCACAAAAGCCCGGCAAAGTAGCAATGGAAGTAGCATCTGGACTATAAGCTGCAATTAGGCCCATCATACACTTACATAAGGACCTCCTGTTTTCAAGCGTGTCCCCCAAATTACTCAGGCCCACAACCGCATCACAACACGACGACCCGGGAAGTGGGTCCGGCGACCCGTAGCTAATGAATACCGAACACGTGTTCAAAAGCTGAGTCACCGTTGTACAGTCGACATCGGCCCCCACCTTATGCCACATGGCATTTGATACTAATATTACTAACCATAATCCAAACATGGTGGTTAACCTTAAGCTTGGATAATCCACCATTTTTTTTGTAACGAATATTGAGCAAGAGTTATTTTAATGGCGGAGTATTTGTTTTGCTTCTAAAATAGTTGATGAACTGGCTTGGTTAACTTTTGTAGGGTTTTTAAGTTTGGTGAACAATGAAAGTATTGTGTTATTTCATGAAAGTTGAGTGAGTCTTTCTTACTATTAGTGTTTTTTTGAATATACTTATATTGTGATCAACTTGTGATGATAGATTAAAATTTTAAGTCATCATTAATACGTAGTAGTTCATTTTAATGTACTATTTCAACATGGGTGTTTATGTTGAATAGTTTGAAATAATTTGATCCATCCGAATCCGTATATTCATTGGTCTAACCCATTCACAAGTCAAATTATCCCATGCCAACTCATGATCAACCTAATCCAACCCGCGACCCAGACTGGCTTGTGTCACCTAACCCAACCCAATATCTAGACCAGCCCAGATTCAGCTTGGACCGGCCCAATGTATATCTCTACAGCCAAGAAAGGTAATGGGTTTGAAAATCATTAAATAATTTGGATTATAACACGAGCTCTAATGGACTTCATATAGTTGGGCCTCTAAATAAGGGTGCACATAGGCCCAACATAAAGCATCAAATTCCAAACAAAATATGTTTTTTATGTTAACCAAACAACCACTTTGTTAACACTATAAAGGGCCCAGAATGAAATTGAGACAAAGTATGCAACTTCTCAAAGTTTACAAACCCGTAACTATCATCTTACAAATCACAAATAGATTAATAAAAATATTTTAACATTTTATGTAATTAAATCAAAATCTAACACATGAATACATGTTAAGCATTCCCCTTGGTGATACATGCCAACATCATCACCACCATAAAGTAGCGCCTTAGTTATGGATTAGCATTACCAATCCAATTATGTACCTAGAAATCAAAATTAGCCGTAATTAGTACCATATTAATGAGCTAATTTGTTGTAAAACTAGAAATTAGGGAAGTATTTGATCATGCATGCTTACCCTATGACGAGCAAAACAAGAGACGTGATCCCTAACACGTACTGGTAGGGCTTGAACTTAGTCTTAGAACTAAGATCAGAAGGGAAACGCCTAGTGAACCACCCAATATGAGGGCGAGGCAGCAACATAAAGCCAAGAAGGAACCCTACTGCGAACCCACCAAGAGGACCACCGTTGTGTGGATGAGGAACTACCGTTAGAAGTAAGTTGATCACAAACATTAACGATATAGTACACACTGCCATACCCTAAGATAACATGCATAACAAGAATAAAATAAGGTCAGAAAAATATAAAAATAAACTAAAATTGCAAAATTAAGATTAAATGATATCATCAATATACATAATATACTTACCTTATTGGAGTAAAGGGTCCAATTTGTAATGAGTTCGGAATACATAGCTCCAATAAGCCCAAGTAAAGCACTAGTTGGACCAACAGAAATATGATTTGGGTAAAGCAGACATGAAGTTATGTTTCCTCCAATTCCTGCTACTAGGTAGATTATCCCAATCCTTACTGTAAAAATTTACAAATTCCAACCAACAAATAGATAAAAGTAAGACCTATAATAATGACTACAGTATTATAATTATTTAGAAACGAGGAAATAATATTAAGAAAGGAGTACTTACAGAATCCAAATTGTTGTTCGAGGCGAATGCCAATGAAAAGTAGGGTCAACATGTTAAAAAGAATGTGAATAAGGCCGCTGTGTAGCCATATAGATGTGATGAGCCTCCATCGTTGATGATGTTCCACTATCACTGACCAATTTATAGCTCCCATTTTCATTATTCTTTATGCATACATAAAATGAATACCAATAAGATTTATGTAACCACCAAAAATAAAATCATACAATAACAACAACCTCACTACATACCAACAAATGACATGATGTCAAAGTAGGGCTTTTAAAGCCCACCCTCATTCATTCATTCATTCATTCATTCAATCATATATATAGATTACATAGTTCCCTAAAACATATCAAAAGATATTCAAGATATTAACTTAAGATAACACAACCTATAAACTAGGAAACTAAATATATGATAATAATGACAATGATATGATAATATTTCCTAATATTCCTAACACAAGATCGCGACAAATATATGTACACTACCTTATTAACACTAACTAGATCGCGACAAATACATGTACAAAACATTAACACTAACCAAAATTAGCAAGGAATTGATGAAAATATTTTTTTTAATTAAGTTACGTACGCATGAGGGCCAGGACCAAGGAGAGGGTTGTAATGAAGTGGTTCAAATGAAAGCCTTCCAAGGAACCTCGCTACGCAACCGCGGCCACCACCATGAGAAGGACAATTATTAATGAACAAAGTAACTAGGAAAATGATAACATTAATCCCTACAAAAAATGGGATTAACCAAGTTTTCCATTGAACATCAGAATCATCCCACATATGAGATATCTTTACTATCCCATTATCCATTGCTCCTCTTTTCTCAACATCCTCTTCACTTTCCATGTCTTTCTCTCTCTAAAATTAGGAAACTGTAAGTTTGATTGTAAGTGTGGTTTTTTAATGTTGGTGATGAAGTGGGAGGAAGTTTAAAGGGAGTAGTGTGTATTAGTCGGTTTTATTAACTGCTTGATTATTAGTTGGGTCACTGATAAACGTGTTTTAGTGCAGCTTTTACAGTAGATAACTGCTTGATTTCTGTGGATTTGTGGCCCATTTATAGGCCCTTTTCTTTCTTTCTTACGAGATTTGTGAATTTATATATAGGACATTTGACCCAATTTGTGAATGTATATAAGGTTTTGATGATGGAATTATGGCTAGAAATTGAGATACCAAACCCAAAGAAGTTAAAAAGGTGGATAAAAGTATAATTATTATTATTACTCGTGTTATTTATTTATGTATTTGTATAAGATTACACGAGGGAATAAAAATGGGAAATTTGGAATGGAGGGGAAGGGATACTCTTCAATCAAGAATGATTTTCTTAACAACTATGAGGTTCATGTTTTGGATCCTTAATTCTTTTTTACTTTATGGGGACGTATTACATAGGCTTCAGTGCTTCATTTATAAACAGCCAACATCAACAATGGTTGGTGCACACCACTATAATTAAGCAACCAACATCTATCGTAGCAAAAAAGTTGTGATACCCCAAAGAAAGATTATTGACAACTTAACGGAACCCTAACATCTTTAGATGGTGTTTGCATAGAACCATCTTTTGCAACACTTGACTACAATTACAACATATTTCTGAAATAGTTATATCATTAAACTAAACTATTGAGACTTTTGTGACCTAATAACAAAGTTTGTTATGATTTCAAATCAATTTTTATGACCGTGTAAGACACTTAGACACCCCTCTCATCCAATTTACTTTTGGAAAAAAGAAAAATTAAAAAGATTCAAAATTGTGACACCCTTTAATTTGGGATAATTTTTAATTTTCCCGAACTCATAAAGTTTAAAGGACAAGGTGTGTCTCATGAATCCCATGAAATCCTGAGAGGCCACTTGGTTGGTTGAAAATATCTAATGTCTCTAAAATGATTCGTTATGACCCCATAATGCATCCATCACCATCACTCTAATTTTATCATTAGATCTCGAAAAAATGATTCGTTTTCATGCATTATAACCTTCAAAAAAAGCATAATAACATGTGTTCAAATAACAAATAAAAGCAAACTAAAACGACAAATAAGTAGGGAAAAGTGCTCACATATAGGCATATAAATATATAATAAATGAAAAGTGCAACATATATATTGACATAATATCAATTAATGTACATATAAACAGTGGTAATTAAAATTTAATCTCATGATGTCCTTTAAAGGAAATAAGTTACCCGTATATGTGATGCTTCATATGTTGGTTGAAACAAAATAGTAAGGTATATATCTCGCACATAAGCACCAATAATGTGGTATACATTTTAAACGAAAAAAAAAAGTAGGGTTTATGCCGAAAAAATTAAAATTGTAATGGAAAAGGCAACTTCAAAAGGTCACCTAAATCTTAACATTTTGTCGACGGTCAATTTTAGTCATTGACCCAAAGCGATATTAACGAGGAACTTTATACTCCACATCTTGAAACCATTCCAATCAACTATTGTTCCTTTATAATTTTGGGATTTGTTCCTTTATAATTGAATACCTAAAGTTTAAAATGTTCGTTAAAACCTTATTACTGATCATTTAAATTTTCAAAAAAAGGATGCAAAACGGAATGATAAAGTAGTTACGGAAAGAAATACCATAGCTAAATTTTAGGAATCTGGATTTAAAAAAAAAAAAAAAAAAAGTCATCGGACCAGTACATTATATTTGAACACGCTCATCTATCGCAAACATGTTCATTACACACACGCACGCAAGATTTTTTTTTTTTCCAATTGTGATCAAATGGCGCACCTATGTAATCTCACACATATCACTATTTGTCAGTTGTCACAATTACATAGTAAATTAATTGCTATAATTATATACTTATATTCCATTATACTTAGCATATTACTCGTACAATGTTAATTTTGTTTATGTCCTTTTTCTTGGCAATATTTTTTTTTTTTTTTTTTTTTGGGAGCTTGTTATATACATCCGTGTGTATCGTATATCCATGGGTATTTTGTTCTCATTTTGATGATTATTTTTTATTTAATCATCAAATGAAGAGCAAATACTAACCTTGGATTAGTTGGGTGTATGGTATACCCGAATATATATAACAAATTCTATGAAATCTGAAAAGATTATATTGCTATTAAGTGAAAGACATTAGCACACAGTGTGGAAAACCTTCCGCAAGAAAAACTTTTTTTTTTTTGAATTGTGAAAGAAAAACCTTAATTGTTTCGTATGATTAGAATTAAATATGAATCGCATTACATATACGCTTCTTATTTTCCTCTTGAGCCAAGTAAATAAGTTTCTATAAACTTCTCACATATTATTTACTCCCTAAAACATGGTCAAATATTTTTTAAATTCTACTTTTATAACAATTTTTTTTCGAAAGTCATTGAAAAGGGGGGCTATCACACGAGACTTGGCACAATCACAATTGACATAGGAGCATTTTCAAACAGGAAAACATCTAAATGATGCAAAAATTAATTTCTCATCTTTATTTTTTTTTAGGTTGAAGCCAAAATAAGTTGCAAAAAGTGATAAAATTTTGACTATAATCCGTAACAAGCAACAGAAACAATAAGAAAAGCACGAGTTTCTACTTCAACACGTTAGTGGTGTAACAACCTTTGGTAGCTTACACTAAACATTAATCCATTATTTCATCCTTTTTCTTAATCTAGATTATTATTTTCTTCCAAATTTGCTTATGTATTTCCTAATTAACTCTATTACTCTAATTATTCTTCTCATTCATCTCCAATTATTCACTCACATCTCTGAAGCATATGATTTGTAATGTAGCTCAGCTGAGATAAGGATAATAAAATCAATAAACGATGATATAAAACCAAAAAATACATAAAATTACGACATACTTCCTAATAAGTATTTACGCGAATCATTTTCACTCCCATTAATTTGTTAATGTAGCTCAATTGAGATAAGGATAATAACAATTAATAAACAATGACATAAAATCAAAAAATACATAAAATTACACATACTCCCTAATAAATATTTACGCGAACCATTCATTAAACCATTACGAGCTATGTACAATCTTAATTACTATGATTAGCACTTATACTTATTTTTTTTTTGAGTAATAATATTCATTATCGTCATTTATTACCGTTTAATGAACGGGAGAGTGAAACGCAAACGCTTGCATATAAGCATGAGGAGGGGGTAGGGGGTAAGATGAGAAGCATGAATTCAGGGGCCGGGAGAAGGGGGAGTGGGACCCAATAATTTTCATTTGTCAAAGATGAAACGGCCTAGTTTTCTCTCTCTTCCGCTGACTTTCTTACTGTCCAAATTTTTCATTTTTGTCGAATTATTTCTTGTTATAAAAACAAAGCAAAGAGAGTGAGACAGAAGAAGCAGAGCAATGCAAAGAAGCCATAGATAATTGTGTAGGAAACAGAGCACTGATCCCATAAAAGATTAAAAAAAAGAGAGAGAAAAAAAAAAAAAAGTTTGATCATTTTTCTAATATTGATTTCTTTGACCAAAGGAAATCATCACCATTGAAATTTGTAAGTGAGTCAGCTACTATTATGCTAAGCAAACTCTTTTTTTATTCATTCATTTCAATTTCCTTCTGCTCCTTTTATTACTACTCGGGTACTCATTTTAAAAAAGTGATTTAAATGTCGAGGATTTAACACCCGAATATTTAAAGTAAAATGAAGAGTCCGAGTTATCATAAATTTGATTTATTTTAGTTATAGTTTTTTTTATAATTAAAAAATAATTTCTTTTTTATAAAATTTTTGTTTGGGTCTCCACATGCAATAGGGAGATAAAAAGGGTCCACGAATCTTTGACAATTGACACTCAAAAACACTTATCACTGTTTTCTCTCTCTAGAAAACTGAGTCTCTTCACCTTCTTTCTTTCTTTTCTGGGTGTTGTTTGGCTCCATTTTTTTACCCCTTTTCTGGGAAAATTAAGGAGAAAAATCCAGAAAAAACACACTCCAAATATAGTTTCTCTAATTTTTTTTTAATTTTTTTTTTTTTTTTTGGTGTTATTGGAGGTGTAGCAACTAGCAAAGTGAGGAAGTTGTAATACTTTGAAATGGTACTGAGTATTTTCTGAGGTATTTCATATTGTTGCAAATCCTAATTAAAGTTTATTTACCCAAAAAAAAAAATAATAAAACCTTTTATCTCTGTAAACCAAATAAAGTTTTGAGTTTTATTTAATTATTTTTATTATCTTTACCAAAAAAAAAATTTATACTTCGTATACCTTTTGGAGAATCTATTTGGTCATTTTCAGGGGATCTGATCTTATGGGGTCATTATCATGTATTGCTATGATTTTGATTGTACTTGAATCTTTAAATTGTTTTTGACTTTACATTTGTACAAACTCCTTAAAAGTTCTTCCTGTTTCGACGGAGAGTTCTTCTTATATGGACGTACGTTCAAACAGGTGAACTTTTAAAGACAGAGTGAGTACTATTTTCTTTTTCTTTTGAAATATCCAAATGCTAAAGAAAAACATGCAAATGGGTATATACAAAATGAGTTGAATTTTATTTTATCATGAGTTCATGACCCTTAATTATAGCATTAGTAAAAGTGTAACTCCTTTTACATGTTCAATTATTTTTGTTGCTTTTATTTTTTTGGATAAATTGAATATATAAAATTGACTTATATAATGTGTTTTGGGGATTTGCAGGGTAAAATGGAGAGGCTTGATGAAATGGGATTTTATGGGGATCAGTATGACCCAAACAACATGATAATGGTTGGAGAAAACATTATCAATAATAATAATAATAATAATAATAATAATAATAATAATAATAATAGCAGTATTAACAAGGAAAATTCTGGAAGTGACAACTATGAAAGTCTCTCAGTTGGGGATGTTCCTAAGCTTGACCCTGAACCTGAACTTGAGGGACCTTCTCAAGTTAAACCTAAAGGAAGGAGAAAGAGATATCATAGGCACACTCCTCAACAAATTCAAGAACTTGAGAAGTAAGTTCTTTTATTTATTGTTTTTTATAATACTCGATATAATTGTGAGACCGTCTCATACAAGAATTTGCCTTTCGAGTGGCGGGTTTGAGTAAATTTATGATTTTTAAATTTTTAAGTTTTTGGGTGTTTTGTAATTAATGTTTCATGGTGTTTTTTTTCCTTATAATTTGCTGTCTAACAATGGTTGGTTAATGTTGTTGTTATTGATGCTAAGTCTTGATGATTATTGGGGGTGTAATTAATCTTTAAAACTGCTAATATCTTTGCTGATTCTTTAATTGGGTGTGCAGTTTCTTTAAGAACTGTGCTCACCCAGATGAAAAACAAAGGCTTGAAGTTGGAAAGAGGCTTGGATTGGAGAGCAGGCAAGTTAAGTTTTGGTTTCAGAATCGTCGAACGCAGATGAAGGTAATTATGTATTCAATATTTTGTATATGATTTTCATGAATCATGGAGTATATACTAATGGTGTGAAATTTTGAATTAGTTTTATTGATTATGGTATAAACTATTGGTATGAACAGACACAAATCGAAAGAAATGAAAATCTAGTCCTTAAGGCCGAATATGATAAACTTCGAGTTGAGAACATTGCAATGAAGGATGCTTTGAGAAATCCATTGTGTCAAGCTTGTGGAGGTCCGACTATGCTAGGGGATGTATCCATTACTAATCACCATTTGAGGGTTGAGAATGCTCGTTTGAAGGATGATCTTGCCCGGGTTTGTGCTGTTGCTGAGAGGTTCATTGGCAAACCGATAACTGATTTGGTTGGTCCAATTGGAATCCCCACTTCAAGCTCAAACTTGGAGCTATCCATGGGGAGAGGAGGGCTAGGTGGCCTAATGAGCTCATCGTCCTCATTACCCATGGGACTTAACCTCGAAAATGGACTTTCGAGCAATTCTACCATGATAGTATCTATGAATGGTTCTGTCAGCACCGAGTATGAGAAGTCGATATTCATGCAGGCTGCAATGGCTGCTATGGATGAATTGCTTGCCATGGCTCAGACTGATAGTCCTCTGTGGTTTAAAGGCTTGGATGATGGTAAGGAACTGCTGAATCAAGAGGAATATGTCAAGAAATTCTCCAGTTTTACCGGAATGAAACCTTGTGGCTTCATTACCGATGCTTCAAGGGAGACAAGTTCAATATTCATCACTAGCTTGGAGCTTGTGGAAACAATGATGATTCCTGTAAGGACTCTTTAACTTTTGTTGATTTCATGTTTCTTGCATGGAAATGAAAATGTTCTCCACTTTTTTCCTTGTTGAATTCATGATCAATGAACTTGGAAATCTTGTGCTAAATGCTTAGAATGTGTCATTTGTGCCTTTACTTTTATTTGGATGCTTTTGGTTTAATAAATGTGTCACAGCATCTATGTCACGATTAATTATAAGATATGGCTAAACATGTTGGCTTAGATGCTTGCCCCCAGAAATCAAATTTGAACTTTTAAGCAGTTGAGATAGTACTGTCTTTACTTAAAGGTTGTTTTTTTTTTTTTTTTTCTTTTTTTTTTTTTTTAACTATGTCTGTCTAGACTTTATTGTCGCATCATCATCTTTAAATTGTACTATCAACGTAACAATCATGCAGACGGAGGGATTGTAAATTAAAGCTGATGACTGATTTATTTAAATTTCTTGGTATATTCTCATAAATGGTTATATATTTGTACCATGCTCTTTTTGTCACCTTTAATTTCACAATGATTTAATGTTCTGAAATGGATTTAGAGGCAATGGCGAGACATGTTTCCATGCATGGTTAGCAAAGCTGCAACTGTCGAGGTCCTGTACCATGGTGCTGGTGGGACTCGTGATGGGGAACTTCAGATGGTAAGCTTTTCATGAATATGGCTATCTTCTATTCTAGCTAATTGTTGAATATAGACTGATAATGTCATGAAATCTCATGCTAGATGAGCGCAGAGTTAGTGTTTCCCTCACCTTTTGTGCCTTCCCGTCATGAGAAGATATTGCGGTACTGCAAGCAGCATGCAGAAGGCATGTGGGCCGTGGTTGACGTTTCTGTTGACATGATCCGAGACCCATCGTATTCAGGATCGTCCATCAAGTGGAGGAGACTTCCTTCTGGTTGCATTGTTCAAAATGTTGCCAATGGTTATTCCTTGGTATTTACTTCTCCTTGATAATTCTTTAATCTTAAGCAAATAAGTATATTTATGAATAAAATTTTATAGTCATTAACGGTAGTATAACTGCAGCCTCTTAAACATAATTATGATCTTAGTATTAACTACCAGAATGAGAAGCTTGCACTAGTAATGATGTTTGGATCATTATGTCGAATCCTTTTCCTGTCTGTAATGAAATTTCTTTTTCTTTATTAATTTCACTAAAGGTGGCATATTGTGCGCGATCTCTCTGAATGAGAGAGAGATAGAAGCTGCTGTAGCTGTAAGGTTCTAAAGTTGTACGGCATCTACATTTGTTTATTTGGAGGAGTAGATGCTTCTTTTCTTATTTTATACCGCGATTTCAAATTTCAAAGCCAAGGGTTGCTTATTGTCTTCACTTACTAATTTATCTCAATTCTTTTTTTTATGTTTTGGGTGAGGTCATAGAGTTGGCAAACAAGTTGTTCAGATGAAGTTTGGTATGCTTTCATCTTAAGATAGGTCATCATTTGTTATAAAAAAATATTATCATCAAATAAATTAATATTAGTTGTATCAGGCCGGGTCAAAACCGGGTCAGCTAATTTCAATTGCAAATGAGTTTAGGTCACGTGAATCGGTTGGGATGGTCGAGTATGTGTCAATTTTGACAGGTGTTGGGATAACTCTCTCCTTTTTTATATTAGTTAGAGCCCTTCTTGGTTATGAAAAATTTGATAAAAGTTCTTTTTGATCTTTGTGGAGGGAAAAACCTAGGAATCCACATCTTTGGTTGGTATAATATAAGTATTTGATGTTTCTATTCTGATTGCAGCCTATATTTAAACCAATATTGTATTACCAAGAAATGAGATGAACTGGATTTGGGTTTTAATATGCCGTCTTGGTCCATGTAATGCGACTGCGCACTTTGTGTCCTTCTGTTTAGCTTCCATTTTTATTTTCTTTAAGGGAAATGAGAGGAAACAACTCACTGATTAAATTGTCAAACTCTCTAACTTTTGTTATTTTAAATATTTGTCTGCAAGCATCTCGTTCCTTGTTTGCCTCCTCTGCCCTGCCTTTGATTTCTGTGCATTTCTCCTAGAGCGCCTAATGTGCTTGCTAAATGCTTAAAGATATCGTTTCATGTTTAAACTGTATTCAGTATGTTTACGTAATGTGCAAGATAGTCTGTATGCATAGCAGCCCACTGAACTACGTGACCTGAACCGGGATTTTTGACAGTAACTAGACGATTTAGTTATTGGAGAGACAGTTCTATGACTTCTCTCTCATGTGCCTCATGTGTGTTCGTCAGTCCAAAATATTTGAATAAAATTATAATTTCCATTCTATTTAAAAAAAACTTATGATGTGAAAACTATTTGAATAATCTTCCCACCTTGGCATAGTTCTTGAACATCAAGTGTTAGTTTGTGCTTAGGTAAGATCTCAGGATGGTTAACAGGCTAACAATTGAATTACAGGTTACGTGGATTGAACATACGGAATATGATGAAAATAGTATTCACCAACTGTATAGACCATTGCTGCGATCAGGAGTGGCTTTTGGCTCTCAAAGGTGGATAGCCACCTTACAGAGGGAACGTGACTGTGCTGCCATTTTCATGTCCGCTAGAATAGTTCCTAATGATACTACAGGTTTCTTTCTTATACTAGTGATATCAAAAGATGATTAGAATATGACAACAAATATTAATTTATTTTATTTATAATAATCTATTGCATAGCAGGAGTTATCACCCAAGAGGGCAGAAGAAGCATCTTAAAGCTGATGAGGCGCATAAGCAACAATTTCTCCTCAGGGCTCTGTGCATCCTCTGCCTGTCGCTGGGAGAAGCTGCAAGTTGGAGTATTGGGTGCTGATGTTTGTGTCATGAGCCGAGTCAGTGTGGACGAGCCCGGTGAGCCCTCCGGTGTGGTGCTTAGTGCCTCAACTTCCGTTTGGATTCCAGTACCAAGGCAGCACATCTTTGAATTCTTACGGGATGAAAAACTCCGTGGAAAATGGGACATCTTAGCCAATGGTGGCCCGATGGAAGTGGTAGCTCGCCTTTCCAAGAGCCATGACGTGAATAATTGTGTTTCCCTCTTATGTCCACCTGTGAGTGTAAGCTTTTTAACAAGTTATTCAAAATTATTGCATGTTTTGGATTCTAGGAAAATGTTTTTTTTTTTTTTTTTAACTGAGGTTGGGGGGTCTAGGGCAAAGGTGGGATTCACTTCTCTTGAAAGAAGGAAATAAGAAAATAAGAAAAGAGAGGGGGGGGGGTATCAAAGACACACAAGTTTAGAGACAGACTGACTACCAACAGAAATGGAAGCATCCTAACTCTAGTAAATCTAGCTGTAATCAATCTATTATTCAAGAGACTATGGCTGGCCAAGAGTTGAGCCGAGCTGAGTAGCTGTCAGGCTCGGCTTGCTTTGAAGTTCTCAAGCTCGAGCTTGGTACAACTACAGAGTTGATATCCAGGGTTGGCTTGATAATTTATTGCACAAGCTCAAGCTTGAGCTGAGCTGCACTCCCTGAAATTTATCTCTAAACCAATTAACTAGTTCAATGAGGTACACTTCACCTTCTTATGTATAAAAAAAATCATAGAAGAATATGTAATTTGATGAGCTTTTGGTGTAAATCATGTCGTGTGACCTTGTTTGTTACAAAACAAGCCAGAGTTTAAAGCTCAGACTTAGATCATAAAGTACATGATCAAAGCCTGAGTCTAGAATAACTGTACTGCAGACTTCTGGATGAACTCAAGCCCTTCCTTTCCTTTCCTAGCTTCTCTTTTTCAATCCCATCCAATTTTTTTTTGTTTAATAAACCTTTTACATTGTGATGAGGGCAGATGATTTTCACAAACTTATACGTTCACAATTTTGTAGGCTGCACCAGCAAGGGAGAGCAACATGCTGATACTACAGGAGTCATGGACAGACCGTACGAGCTCTTTCATCGTATATGCTCCGGTGGACTCAACATCAATGGAGACGGTCCTGAGGGGCGGAGATTCTGACTATCTGTCTCTTCTGCCCTCAGGATTTGCAGTTGCTGATGCACCCATACATCCAAATGTGCTTACATTGGCCAATGACAATGGAGCAGGAGGTTCTGGTGGCGGAGGTGCATCTGCATTGACATTAGGATTCCAAATTCTGGTTAACAGCCTCCCTACTGCAAAGCTCACAGTGGAATCCATCAATACTGTCAATGATCTTATGTCCTGCACTATCCAGAAGATCAAAAATTCCCTTGGTGCCAATTGACACATTTTGCTAAAGAAAATCAAGGGAAAATTGTTGTACATGTCATAGAAAACATTATATAGTATTTTTGGTGGTTTACTAGGAGTTTTCATATGGAAGTCTTTTACATTGGAGCAATTCGAGTCAAGAACGAACCTTTGGCAATTACTGGCTGTTATTGTGCGGTAATTTCTGACAATCATCGGTGACTTTTTTATAGATAGAAGCAGCTAATTTAGAGGCTTGGGTTCGGGTATTGACTCATAACAGCAAAAGGTGGAAACTTACATTAGCAATAGCTTTAAAGACATAGTGAAGTGTTGTTCTGTGTTTAGATAGTTCTCGAATGGTTATAGAAGAGTAGGACTCAGGTGAAGAACTGAAGAAAACATACTGCAGCTTATGTTGAGACTGCTGATGTTTTCACATTTCTGAATCTTTTGTAAGTTTGAAACTTGGTGGGTGTTGTTTATCTTATGGTAGCAATTAAAGTTGGCAAATTTTGTGTGGAATCATGTTTTGAGTTCTTTGAACTCTTTGGAACTTCTATTTTTATTACCTAGTTATCCTATACTGAGTGAGTCACTAAACACAGCCCATGATTACTTTTTTTTTGAGTCTATCATTACTCATTTACATCCAAGACGAAGATGTTGGAGGCCCTTAGAGCCAATATGATGGCCTGCTACTTTTTATTCGATCTGCCGAAGCAGGTGACAACATCGTTTTGGTGGTGATCATCTTATTGGTGGAAGCTTCCACTTGCTCACGACATGGTCTTTGGATACAAATAAAATTAACACACATTAATAAAATAAAGGAAAAATTGGTAAAAACAATTCCATCTTTCACGTATTCGTTTTAAATAATCCCAACTTAGAGGTTTATTCGCTTTCTTTGATCCTTAACTGGTTACTAACCTGTTATAATATATTAAAATAACACATGCCGCCATTTGATTGGTTGAAAATTTAAAAAAAAAAAAAAAAAAAACTTTCAAAAATTGAAAAAAAAAAAGAAAAAACTTAAAAAAAAACTGGCAGCCTCCACCCACGAACCACCTTCCCCACCACCGCCATGGCGGCCAGAATCATCTTCCCCACCCAAGCGCCGGCCAGAACCCCTCCCCCGCGCCGGTAGCTCCCCTTCCAGGCGTCCCGTTCCCCAAAACCACCATCTCCATCACGAACCCCTAAAACCCCCGAAATCTCACCCACGACCACCATCTCCATCACCAACCGCACCCCCCATCCCCGCCGGCGCCAAGACGCGCAATCACCCTCTACACAGCCAGTTCTGTCGCGACCAGCACCAGCCCACAAACACACATCAACCACAATTCGCGGAATCGCGGGTTGATTTTGCTGCAATTCGCGGGTTGCTACCTCGAATTGGTGGTGGCGGGCAGTGCTGCGGCGATAATTGAAGATAACCTAAAGTACGAGGCTTTGTTCAAACAACTAAAACTCATGGAAGTAAGATTTTTAGTGAATACTGTCTTAAAATAACCAGTACTCCTTGGGAGGAGAACGGAGGATCACATGACTGTGACCCTCGGGTGTTTGAGTATTGGACTTCTGTGTATTGGAGTACGAGATTGTTTCGTATTTGTTGTCACTTACGGTCTAGTCTAGGTGCTACTTATCTTTTCACGATTCTGTTTAACTGTGGTGCAGGCTTGAAAATGTTATGGGGCTGTAAATTGTAGCCTTCAGTTAAGTTTCCAAAGGGCTAATTTGAACTTAGTGAATCAAAGCCGTTTGTTTACGAACCAGCTTTGGACATCCCTCATATGCTGCATACAGCATACTTGTGAACCATTAACTTTCAAAGGGTTTGAAGAGACCTTTCGACACCATCCAATGCTCTTGCTGGTACCAAATCTTTTGGTAGAGAGCCTTAGGTGACCATAAGACAGTGCCATAACCTTGCTCACTTCGGTTTCAATAACAATCTTTGGGAGGGTCTTTGAGCGGCAGTCAAACGAGGGCATGAATGCGAGATGCCAGCGGAATGATCGGCCGGACAGAGGCTAGGCTATCGACAAGAGAACAAGCCCTTTGTTTGAATACTAGGTTTTCATATTATTTCGGACTTTTGGTCAATCCCTCTCAAAAATACCAAAAAAAATAATGTAAAAAAAAACTCGACCTTGATTTTAGTTCAAGAATATCTGGTTAATAACATTCACAAGGGACTGTACATCACTGTTTCTAAAAGAGCTCATAATGAGCAATAAGCAAGAGTGTAGTCGTGTAGATTTAACAAGTGCATGATACACTCGCGAGTGTGATACTAATAGGCATCATCTTGACCCGAGCTACAAAAATAACATGAACTACAAGTCTACGACTATTCAAAGTTTGTTAGTCTTCAATGTATCCCTTAAAGATCTTGGAACAGTAGAGGCTTCATTAAGCATTTCAAAATTGCATTTGAATCAATAGCCAAGCCAGGAAAAATGCAAAACAATACTGCATCAAAATTGCCTGTACAGATGTCAAATGAGTTTTACTGGGTTTGACAAGCAGAATGCAAAGGTGGATCACACTGCCATGTTTGAAAAATCTCTACTAAGAGCATAACAACCATAAATAAATTCCTAGGAGTATGATCTTAAAAGCAACAAGAACAATCAAAAGGGCATTCTCCAGTGTTACCACCGTCTTGACTGTTAAGTCTCAGCTCTTCTTCTGAGTAAATAGCAAGTCCGTCATTTGTTCTCCTTCTAGGCTTGGAGTCAGGGTTCAAAGCTTCATTTTCTTTTAGGCTTCTCTTCATCTTTTTCTTTATTTTCTTCGATTTTTCATTTGTGTTGCTAGTTCTTTCAGCCTTTCCTTGCTCAGCCTTCTTCCTCTTTCGGCTTGCAAAGATAATATCAATTTCGTCGGCCTTTTTTAAACCAGCAGATGGTTTTTCTTGTTGAGCATCAAGTTCTTTTGGAGCATTGGAGGCCTTTGAAGACTTCTTTTTAGGCATATCACTTTCGTTGGCCTTTTTTGAGTTACCAGATAGTTTAACTAGTTGAGTATCAGGTTCTTCTTTTGGAGTATTGGACACCTTTGAAGACTTCTTTTTAGGCATTTTCTATAGGCAGTATGCAGTAGATTATCAATCAACTATCCTGAAATTCCACAGGTATTAAATGCAGAATGGTAAACAGAAACCATAGTATCGCAATGCAATAGATAATGATACATCATACAACATTTAGGAGCTAAAATTTCATCCAGAGAAAAGAAGAGGGGTTAAGAATGGTGTCTCTGATGCAACAAGTGTATTCACTAGAGTGAAAGGGCAGTCAAGCTCATTTTTTGACACTATGAAGGACAATTTCTCAGCCCCCTCCTTGCCTACCAACAATTGCATCAGCTATACAAATAAATCAAACCAGCTAATTGTTCTTAACTAGTAATCTAGCATACACAACCAAAATACAATATACAAAAGGTATAGACAACAGGTACAACTAAAGTTCGAGAGTTCATAAATACATGTCGCTGTAGAGTTCAGATATCGCTCTGAAGCTCTTGGAAACAAAAGAAGCTAATACATGGCAGCAAAGTGAGTGAGCGCGCAATGATCAAATGCTAAGGTTTCTAACAACTTGCTACAATATACCTTAACGACCTGTTTGGAACGAAGTCATAAATAATGGGAATGGAAATGAATTTGTGGTTTGTGGTATTCAATGGCAAAAATACTGTTTTATTTCAATTTCAGACTTTAACCCATATGCCAAATACACAAATCCAACAAATTTGCCTCAAAAATTCAAAAGCTTTTTCCATACCCGTATAAAAACATTAAAATCTTGCTTGGATTGAGGGTAATATATTAAGGGGTAATAAAAGTCAAACTTGAAAAAACATAAGTAATTAGAGGTGGTGTTGTAGGAGGCATGATGTTTACAAATGAAATAAAGTAATTGTGCCATGAGGAAAAGAGAGAGATGGAGGAATTATTACCCTCGTAATGAGGGTAATAATTACCCACCTTCCCCCTAAGGTAAATATTACCACCAAAATTAGGTATTAGTTCCTCTTTCTTCACCTCTAGTTCCTCTTTCTTCACCTCATACTACACAACCACTACCTAATTTTCCTTACAATCACACATCACTATCTCCTCCTCTATTTTCACTTTCATTTTACTTAGTTTGACTTTTATTACCCTATTAATACATCTCCCCCAATCCAAGCATGCCCTAAAAGTGATTCAGTAGGGGAAGTATAATTACGAGCCAAGCCCAATCGACTCGAGCTCAATAGGATTTAAGTAGGCTCAATTCGAGATGCCTCAAATTTCACCCTGCTTGCACAATAATCAATAAGATTTTTAGTTCAGTTCGTGGGCTCGATTAGGGTCGAAATATACAACAGATTAGCATGTTTAATTTGAATAAAGTATCAAATTAGGCTAAAAAAATCACATGAACCCTAATTGACAATGCAGACAATTAAATTAACGATAGTGTGAAAAAAAAAGACCTAGAATATGGAAAATCATCTTACCTCAGAAGCCGCTTTAATGGAGGCGAGAAAGCTCAGAAGCCGCTTCAATGGGGAATTCAAGTACGGCAGTACGCTTGATATTATGAGGGAAAATATAAGTGAAAGGCTGAAGCCTCAAATCGAGGAAATATCAAAATAGGGAAAAACGGAGGGTTTTGTTTTTTTTTTTTTTTTGGAAATTTTGTTAATTTACTATCTCAAAAACCGTTTGTGAATTACTACCCCTAAAAAAAAAGTTTTTAATTACTATCCCTAATTCACCTAAATAGGACCGATTACTATCCAATTGCATTTTCCACTGACTTAACTCACCTTATAATGTCATTACTCCGATTTAACCACAGTTCCGCGCCCGCGGCCTTGACAGCCACGCCCGCGGATGACTGGGGCCAGCCCTCTCCAAGGGCGCGGCCATCCCTCTCCAACTTCAAAAGATGAGCACCAATTCACCCAATCCACGCCCGGGGCTCCCTAAATAACAGTTACCAATACACTACTAAGAAGGGCTAAAATGTGTCATAAATGACACTTATCGATACACAATAACAAAAGTTTGACTATAATTGCCAAAACCAACATAAATAGTCAAAACAGAACATAACTTGGCAAAATAGGCATGCATGCCATAATTGTACTACAAAATAGGACTTAAGCTGCCTAAATGTTGAAGTCTTACACCAAACACACAAAATAACAGTTGTACTTTGAACCTAAACAAACAACTACTCTTTCATTTCATCAGTATGGGGCCCAAATTGAACTTTTCCATTCATCACACTCAAACACAACATACAAAGTAATTACATCTGATTGCCCAACACTTTCAACAGATTATCAATGTCCCATTGGTCAAGCAACACCTTTCTCCCAGTGTTCAAACTCTTACCAAATTTTATGTACTAAATTTTGTACTCTCCAGCTTTGACTTTAAACCTATCTACTACAAGCCTATTTAAAGACCCAATGCTCATGGTCCTTGTCCTTGTAGACACCAGAGCCTCTAACAACATTTCACCCGCACTCCAAAACACCACACTCCTACTGGTCTTAAAATCTCCCCATAGAACATTCGAATACCAATATAGGGTGGAATTTTTTTGTACAATTTAAAAAGCATTCAACAAGTTACAAGAAGGAATCCATTTCAACTTTTCTATTCTATTACATCAAATAAGTAATTTCACAGTAGCACTACAATTGAAAATCAATTCAAACCTAGGTTTAAGCACGCATTCTAATTACTCATCAATTTCAATTATGCAAAACGATTTAAATAGTGTTAAGCACATAAAGACAATAACTTTACTTACCTGGAACCAACTATTACAAGGGCCTTTCTCGTTTCTCGTTCAATGGCAATTCCTTTGTTCTTCACCATTTTTAGCTCAATACACGTAACTTTGTTAATTAGGGCAAATTTTAAGCATGCAATTGCATTAATGTGAACACAAACATGAATTCAGGATTTTAGATGGGTTTTGTTAGGGAAGAACCGAGGAAGAAGAGTACAGGAGAGAGATCAGGGAATTTAATTTTTTTTTTTTTTAGGTTAGTTAGTTTATTTTTTTTTTTTTTTTTGGGTTAGTTAGGTGAATTAGATTAGAGGTATTCGTGGCTTTGTTTGCAAGGACCCGTGGTGCGGACAGGGTGAATTGGAGTTCCTCGTTTAAACCTGTAGAAAGTTGGCCGCGCCCTTGGAGAGGCAAACAAGGCCACGGGCGCGGGTTTTTGCGGCTTTGTTTGCAGGTAGCCGCGGAGCCGCGGGCACGGGTGTCCTGGCCGCGGGCACGGAATTCTGGTTAAGTCATAAGGTGAGTTAAGTCAAAGTAATGACGTCATAAGGTGAGTTAAGTCACCGGAAAGTGCAATTGGGTAGTAATCGGTCCTATTTAGGTGAATTAGGGGTAGTGATTAAAAACTTTATTTTTAGGGGTAGTAATTCACAAAGCCTCTGTTTTTAAGGTAGTAATTAACAAAATTTCCAAAAAAAAAAAAAAAAAAACTTCGTTTTTCCCTGTTTTGATATTTCCTCGGTTTGAGGATTCAGCCTTTCACTTATATTTTCCCTCATAATATCATACGGTGCACTTCTCTGTCATACACTCTCTCTCTCTCCTCCATTGAAGCGTACTGCCAAACTTAGAATTCCCCATTACAGCGGCTTCTGAGCTTTCTCGCCTCCATTAAAGCGGCTTCTGAGGTAAGATGATTTTCCATATTCTAGGTTTTTTTTTTTCACACTATCGTTAATTTAATTGTCTGCATTGTCAATTAGGGTTCATGTGATTTTTTTAGCCTAATTTGATACTGCTAATGTGTTGCATATTTCGACCCTAATCGAGCCCACCAACTGAACTAAAGATCTTATTGATTATCGTGCTGAGCTTGAAATTTGAGGCATCTCAAATTGAGCCTGCTTAAATCCTATTGAGCTCGAATCCATCGGGCTTGGCTCCTAAGTATACTTCCCCTAATGAATCACTCTTAGGGCATGCTTGGATTGGAGGAGATGTATAAATAGGGTAATAAAAGTCAAACTAAGCAAAATGAAAGTGAAAATAGGGAAGGAGGAGAAAGTGATGTTGTGATTGTAAGAAAAATTATATAGTGACAGTGTGGTATGAGGTGAAGAAAGATGAACTAATACCTTCATTTTGGTGGTAATATTTACCTTAGGGGGAAGGTGGGTAACTATTACCCACATTACGAGGGTAACAATTCCTCCATCTCTCTCTTTTCCTCATGGCACAATTACTTTATTTCATTTGTAAATGTCATGCCTCCTGCAACACCACCTCTAATTACTTCTGTTTTTTCAAGTTTGACTTTTATTACCCTTTAATATATTACCCTCAATCCAAGCTAGACCTTAATGTTTATATACAGGTATGGAAAAAGCTTTTGAATTTTTCTGTTGGATTTGTGTATTTGGCATATGGGTTAAAGTCTGAAATTGAAATAACACAAAGTATTTTTGCCACTGAATACCACAAACCACAAATTCATTTACATTCCCATTATTTATGACTTCGTTCCAAACAGATCGTTAAGGTATATTGTAGTCAAGTTGTTAGAAACCTTAGCATTTGATCATTGCGCGCTCACTCACTTTGCTTCCCTGTATTAGCTTCTTTTGTTTCCAAGAGCTTCAGAGCGACATCTAAACTCTACACCGACATGTATTTATGAACTCTCGAACTTTAGTTGTACCTGTTGTCTATACCTTTTGTATATTGTATTTTGGTTGTGTATGCTAGATTACTAGTTAAGAACAATTAGCTAGTTTGATTTATTTGTATAGCTGATGCAATTGTTGGAAGTATTAAATTTGGATGTATTGATGGGCAGTGGCGGATCCAGGATTTGATTAATAGGTTGTCTCATCATCGTCCATCGACCACATATAATATCAAAAAATAGTCAAAGCTTGTATAATGGATCAATCTAAATAATTCTTGCTAGTTTGCTACTAAGACATATAAGTATTAAAGCATAATAGCATGAAAACTCGGCTTAAATTACCTCTTTTATGATTTTCACAGCAATCTTGTCCTTGACACTTCCTCTGCGGTTCAAGAACTCGGCTTTCCCAAGAATCTGCCCAAACAAAAACTAATTAGGGCTTATGCTTTGATAATTAAGGTTATATAACAAAAAAAATAATAATAAAAAAAAAATAAAAAAAATCAGCTATTACTAGTATTTGTTTTAAAATCATCTAGAAGCACAATACAGAATCCTCAATTCTGGAGTATTAGTAATTTAGTAGATCAATTCTATCAAAATAAATTAACAAATTTAGCACATATTGGCAAAATTAACATCTAACACTGAATCAATCGAACCCCCAATAAAAATTAGCAGTTGACAGGTAAAAAACAAAAATCTCTGACCGATGATTTCACCTTGACCTTCGTTCTAGATCCGTTTTCTATCTCCTCGTTCAGCGACTATTTATCCCTTTCCCTGACCCGAAACGGCCATAGACTCACCAAAGACACACCACACCACCATTGCACTGCCACCACCTCCACCCAAATCATCACCGCCTCACTGCCCTTAACTTCAAAACTCACCCAAAAACCACATCACCATGAAATTCACCTACCCAACCAAAAACACCACCGATCCTCACCACTGGAAACCCCACCCACCCCTCATAAGTTCACCTCCACCCCTTGAACCCCCCCCCCCAACCCCGTAAGTTCAACCCCAACCTCCTGAAAAATCTACTCGCCCCCTTAAATTCACCTCCACCTTCTCCAAAAACCCACCCTAACCATTGATTAGCCACCTCCACCCAACGAAAATCCACCCTGACCCCCATAAATCCACCCTCACCTACCTGAAACCTCCCCCTAACCTTAGAATAATAAGATCTAATAAGGGCAGCCTTAAGGGTGAACAAAAAAATAGTTCACAATGAGTGAACAAGTGAATGGGTGGCTTAATGGTGCTATAATTGTTCATAGTGAATGATTGTGGGATCGATTGCTGCTGCAAGCATTTGGACGAATTTATGGATTGTGAGCCCCACCCATTTTTATTTTTTTTTCAGGAAAAAAAATAGAAAGCAGCGGCTGGGAGCGCGCCACTTGGCCCAGCCGCTGCTTGAGACGTGTCACTGTTTTAAATAAATCCGTTGTAATTTTGCAACGCATATATTTTACAAAACACAAATCAAAAAAAAAAAAAAAAATTTACCAACGACTCTATTTTTTTCCCCTCTATAAATAGACACCCATATTGCTATACTTTCTTCAACTTTGAAAATCCATTTCTTTCTACTATATTTTTCTCTTCAAAAATCCCCTCTATAATTACCAATATTATTATTATTAATATTATTATTAATATTATTATTATTATTATCATCGTTATTATTATCATTTTTATTATTATTATCGTTATTATTATTATTTCCTTTATTATTATTATCGTTATTATTTTTATTTTTATTATTATTGTCGTTATTATTATTATTATTAAATTTTTATTTTTTCCAAATATAAATTATAATTATGGATGCTAATACCAACCCCAAAACAAATAGAAAGAAGAAAAAAAATTTGGGTCAAAATATGATCCCGAATCAAGCCAATTTTCCTCCAATTCACCCAAATTTTTCACAAACACCCACAAATATTCCCCATAATTTTTCTGGAGTTTATCCTCAAATACCCCAGTCAAGTTTCCCAAATAATCCACCAAATTTCCCTCAAAATTTTAATTTTTCTCAAAGCAGTTCAAATTTCCCACATCCATCCATGATACCAATGGGTTACGGTGAATATGGTGCTGCATCTGGTTATTTTCCGTCACAACAACCGAATCTCAATATTTGGGAATCGAGCAATGACTTATCTGAAGAAGATGAGGCAAATGAAGAATGCGAGGATGATGGTGAGGGAAATGAAACTCCTTCTCCCCATCAAAACTTCACTCAAATGTTACAGCAACCACTCCAATCAACTCCGGAATTTCGTGTTGGTGGTTCAAACAATAGAGGTTGGTCGCGATCAGAAACTGCTGCTCTTATATCCGGGTACATGAACATCAGCACCGACATAATTATCGGCACAAATCAAAAGAAGGGTGTATTTTGGAAGAGAGTATTGGACGCATACGATGCTGTCAGGGAATCGAATGCAGATGAAATATCCCTACGAACTATTAGTAGTTTGAAGGGAAGGTGGATGCGAATCTCTGAAGCCGTGTTAAAGTGGTGCGGAAGCTATGATAAGGCCCGGAAGAGAAAGGGAAGTGGCTATAACGAAGATGATGTTATCCAAGAGGCCCACAAAATCCATGAGAACTCATTCGAACGATTCACCTTCTACGAGGAATGGATCCAATTAAGGAAGTGGGACAAATTCCGGTCTTTCTTGGACCAACAAACATTCAAGCCTTCGGTGGGACGTCCACATTCAACTCCACTGACGGATGAGTCTGTAGGGAGCGGAAGTAGTGGGAAGAGGACACGGGATGAGGGTGACAATTCCTCACCTACCACACCAACCAGCGTGGGTGTCGGTGATGAGAGAGTAGCTCGTGCTGAAGGTATTAAAAAGGCTAAGTCGAGATTGAAGGGTAAAGCTCCATCAAGTCAAGCATTTAAGGAATTAGAAACATTCAACAGCCGATTGCAGCTACTTGGGGATTCGATGAATGTGTCAAACGAAGCAGAAATGAAGAGACTTGAAATACAGGAGCGCAAGGAGGCAAGGAAACAACGGAAAATTGAGCTAGAGCAATATAGGATAAACTGGGAGCAACTATCTCGTCTAGAACAGAAAGTAAACCGAGAACAGTGGGAAGACGAAATGATAGTAATACTTCGGAACAATATTCAACGTTTCAATAATGATGCTTAGTGTCCTTTATTTTTATTGTAGTTAAGTGTGTTCAATTCCTTTGTTGTTCTTCATTTTCAGTAGTGATAAGTTTTCAATTCCAGTTCAACCTCTTGTACTCATTTCCTTATGTTTGTACTTTATCAATTAATCAGTAAAATGGATCTTTTCTACTTTCCCATTTTCATAGCCCATGTGATCTTATTCTGTTTATTCAATTATATCAATTTGTCTCTTTATATATAATTGTGTCAGTATCTTAATTTCCCCTTTGTTAGCCCATGTGAAACCCTTCTTCTCCATTCAATTTCTGTGTGGTCCTAATCCAGTGTTGGTCATAGCCCATGTGAACCCTTCTTCTCCATTCAATTTCTGTGTGGTTGTAATTCATTGTTTGTCATAGCCCATGTGATCTTTGTCTCTTTATATTCAGTTATTTCTGAAGAAGAATTACAAATTAGTTCACTATAAATAAACACCATTCTTTCATTTTTTTTACACACAAACACATAAATCGTTTGCAGTTACTATTAGCAAACCTCACTCTATCTTACATTTCTTACGTACAAAATGAATTCAAACAGTTTAAACGAAAGCTCAACCGATTCCTCTTCATCTTCATCTAACTCGGATGATGAGGGAAGGGAGCTTAGAGTTCAACAACGTAATGAAGTGTGTCTTATGATACAACACGTAATGCATGAGTACATTCCACCAATTATTCAAGCTGCCACTCAGCAACGCCGACGCAAATCTACTGAGCCCCGAAAGGATAGGGGACGCGAAGAAGGTCATGCACGGTTATACAATGACTATTTCGCGGAAGTCCCAGTTTATCCAAGTTCCTTGTTCCGGCGCCGGTTTCGAATGCGTAAACATGTGTTTGAGCGCCTTCTCAACGCAGTGACCCAACATGACCCTTGGTTTCAACAAAGGCGAGATGCGGCAGGTCGTCTTGGTTTGTCTCCACTTCAAAAGTGCACTGCGGCCGTTAGACAACTAGCTTACGGGTGTGCTTCAGACGCTTGTGATGAGTATGTCCGTATAAGTGAGGCAACTTCACGATTGGCACTCCAAAAGTTTACAGAAGGTGTCATCAACCTGTTCGGTGATCAGTACCTACGCCGTCCAAACATCGCAGATATGGAAAGATTGCTACGTATTGGGGAAGAACGTGGATTTCCTGGCATGATAGGCAGCATTGATTGTATGCACTGGGAGTGGAAGAACTGTCCACACGCATGGAAGGGGCAGTATCAAGGAAGAGAAGGAGTTGCAACTCTCGTACTGGAGGCAGTTGCGGACAGAGATCTATGGATATGGCATTCGTTCTTTGGGATGCCAGGTAGCTGCAACGATATTAATGTGCTTCATCGATCCCCTGTGTTCGAAGACGTCTTAGAGGGTCGAACACCTCCTGTGAACTTCGTAGCCAATGGTCATCATTATATGAATGGGTATTATCTTACTGATGGAATCTACCCTAGATGGGCTTCTTTTGTGAAATCCATTACGAGTCCACAAACTCGTCAGGATCGTTTATTCGCAAAACACCAGGAAGCTGCAAGGAAAGACGTTGAACGCGCATTTGGGGTCCTTCAAGCTCGTTTTGCCATTATTAAAAAGCCGTCTTTGGCGTGGGATACCGACATACTCCACAATATCATGCTCGCCTGCATCATAATACATAATATGATCGTTGAAGATGAACGAGAGACGTATCAAAATAACGTTAATACCAATGAGTTTATGAATGCTGGAGGCAACGCTAATGAGGACACTACCGAGTACCCGTACTGATCGTATTGTGGATATCGGCTTATACTTGTCTCGTAGAACAGAGATTGAGGATCAGCAGACTCATTTGCAGCTAAAAAACGACTTGGTCGAACATATATGGAATAAATTTGGTAACAACGAAAACTTAAGCAACTAGGTTTACAACAAATGGTTATCCCTAAGGACATCTTACAAAACGATGTGTAGTTGTTTTTTTTTTTAAAATAAAATGTACTAGATTATAGTTGTAGAACTGTAATCACGATTTGTACCTCTTTTTTTTTGTTAATTAAAATTAGCTGCGTTGTTGTTTAAAAAATATTAATCACAAGAATTAGTTTTTTAAAAAGCTGATAAAAATGCGATAATTTCTTAATTAGTAATCACGATTAAAATATTAAATACGTTAATTAATTACATTGACATCGGGTTAATAAATTATAATTATGAAACAAAAAAGATTATATTTACAAAAATAAAATAAGGTGGGGTAGGGAGTATTGATGATGAACCATTGTTTAGTGTTCATTGTTAAGAGTGAATATTGTAAATGGTTTGTTGGGTTGATGTGGATGAGAGAGAAATGGTGATAGTGACCCATGAACCATTTATTTGGGTTCACCAATAAAGATGCTCTAAGAGACATAAACTGAAATGGAGGTGGTGGTGCAGTGCTTCGATTAGATTGGTAGTGCAAGGTGATGTGGTGCCTTGGTTAGGTTGAGACGGTGCTTCACCTACCTGAAACCATTCCCCCACCCCTCGGAATTTTCATGGTTTCATCCTGACATTAAAGATTTAAAGACTTACACAAACGGACAAACCAAACCCCGCAACACATTAGCAACCAAAATTGAATCAATTATCAAACTAGACTCCAAAAATTACGTAAAATTTTTCGAGTATCTATAACCAATAGTTCAATTATCCAACTTCGAAGAACCCTAAATTGAGTATATAGTGACAATTAATTAATTAAATTAGGTCAATGATTAAAGAAAAAGAAGCATCTAACCTTTGAGACTGCTTCAATGGAGGAGATGAAGCTCAGAAGCCCCTTCAATGGAGAATTTCGAGTACGCTTCAATGGAGGAGAGTGAGAGGAAGCCGTGGTCTATGTCTGTCTGGCCTTCTGGGAGGAAAGAGAGAGGAAGGAGTGAGTACCGTGAAAAATAGATCTAAATTTTTTAGTTTTTGTTTTTACCGTGAAAAAAAGAAAAAGAAAATAGGTGGTCCTATGACCCACAATGACTACATGTGGATCCGTCACTGGTGGTGACGGTGGTTACAGGTGATGGTGGGGGGTTTTTGAATTTTGACTGTTTTTTTTATATAATTTTTTTTTTAATATTTTAACCAATTACGTGGTGACACGTGTTACATAAATTTTTTTTTTTAAAAAAAATTTATCTCATTAATAAGTTATCAGTCACTTTGGGATTATTTTTACCAATTTTTTCAAAGTAAAAAAGGATAATTTTTATTAATAATGTCAAACTTACCTCCTATTAGCTTTCGTGCAAAACTTAATAAACAAACCATAATACCTTAAATCAGATTTAAACAATTAGACTAATTCGGAATCAATCAAACCAAACCCATTAATTTCATTCGAAGTTATTGCTATATTCATCAAATATATTGTATAGTTACAATTCGTAAAATCTCATAAGAGTATTAATTACAGTATCAAAAATTAGTTTTGACATCAAATTTAATCAATAAAAACAGTATTCTATTTGAAAGTGTTTTTTCTTTGTGTAGCGCCACTCATATCTTCCAATTTTATGCCACTTCCAACTGCAAAACCCTAAACCCTAACCCAGAAATCCTCCAAACATGAACAACATTCGCAGAACATCCAATCTCATTCAAATTAAACCCACATTACGCAAATCAAACCCATCAATTTCATCTTTTCTTCAACAAACCCTAAAAAATGCGCTAATTTTCACAAGACAATTGTCAAAAAAATCCACTTCAATTCCCAAAAATCAGCTTAGAGTTCGAGATCATGCTTTTGATAATTACATGGAAGTCGAGAAGAAGATCAGAAAAGTTCTCAAGTTCCAGGAATTAATCATCGATCAACCCCAGCAATGCATCCCAGTTGCGCGCCTTGATTTCCTAGCTCGCCGAATTGGGTTCAAAAGAGATGAAGCAGGCAAGTTTGTTCTTAAATTACCTAAAATTTTTGAAATTTATGAGCACCCAGTTCAAAGAATTCTTTATTTGCGTTTTACTAGAAATGCCCTTTTGCAAATTGAACAAGAAAAACATGCTATTAATGCCAATATACCTGATGCTGTTACTCGGCTTCGAAAGCTCTTGATGTTGTCGAATTCGGGTCGGCTTCATCTTGAGCATATTAGAATTGCCCGTAGAGATTTTGGGCTCCCGGATGATTTTGAGTACTCTGTGGTGCTTAAGTATCCTCAGTACTTTAGGTTGTTTGATGCAAAAGATTGTATGAGTAAGTACATTGAGATTGTAAAGAAAGATCCGAGGTTGGCGGTTTGTGCTGTTGATAGAGTAAGGGAGAGTGAGTATAGGAAGAAGGGAATTGATGAAGAGAGTACGAGGTTTTCGTTTGTTGTGAATTTCCCACCCGGGTTTAAGATTGGGAAGTATTATAAGATTGCAATGTGGAAGTGGCAAAGGATTCCGTATTGGCCTCCTTATGAGGATGTTTCGGGGCATGATATGAGGTCACTCGAGGCTCAGAATAGGATGGAGAAACGGGCTGTGGCGATGATTCATGAATTGCTGTCATTGACTGTTGAGAAGAAGATTACCTTAGAGAGGATTGCACATTTTAGGGTCCCCATGGACTTGCCCAAGAAACTTAAAGATTTCCTGCTCCAGCATCAGGGGATATTTTACATCTCTACAAGGGGGAATCAGGGAAAGCTTCATACTATTTTTTTGAGGGAGGCTTATAGAAAGGGGGATTTGATAGAGCCAAATGATGTGTACTTGGCTCGCAGAAGGTTGGCTGAATTGATCCTGGTGAGCCCCAGAATGGCATCTTCGGGCAGAGAGTTGGTCAGTTATACAAGGCCAAGGGATGATGTAACTGGGAGTCGTAAAGGGAAAATCAATGATAGTGACAATTTCAGGCGAGATAGGGTGGGAGAGCTAGACTTGGACTCAGAGTCAGATAGTGATGTGGAATCATGTTTCAGTGATGAGGATGAGGATGGTCATCATGTTAGGGACACACAAGCTGCTCGTTGAACTGAGTGAATGGAAACTCAGGAATGTTTTTTTATTTGATTTGCGGTTCTGTGATAGTGTGATGACTTCATGGCCGGTGCTAAGTGATGTTGGCATAGCCCAATTGGCACAAGGAATTTTCAAAGGAGCTGACAATCTTTTGTTGGAATCATGTTTATAGAGGTAAGTGCTCCACATGAAAACAGAGCATTTTGCTGATAACTTGGTCCTTTTTATGTCTTCTATCAATTGTACACTACACTGAAATTTGCCTATTAAGAGGCAATGTCACATATTTCTACAGCTGAACTTTGATACTTATCTCAGCGATTTTTATTCTGTGCATTGTTTCATCTCTCGTCTGCTGGTGAGGACTAGACTGGTTAAGCAATGATTTTATGATGGAAGTTTTCATTCATGGAATAGGTTTTTTTGAAAATGATGTGACCATTTCTGCTGTGTATCTTTTTTTGTTCCCAATGCATTCTATCCATTTTGATCTTGGCATTTTCAGAAAACAGCTTTGGTATTTTGCTGTATGCCTGAACTTTTGCCATCTTTTCAATTACGTATACCTTTGTCTTATCTTGCATCTGAACGCTGCTGTGTTTCCTTCATTGCCTTTGGAAAATTCTAATATAATACCTTTTCATTTTATATAAATGTGAATTATGATAATTGGTTGACAAAGTGGAATGTAGTCCTTCAGAAATCAGTCTCTTTGCAGGTTTTGAGATATATGATACGATGAGAGTTAAGGCTGTGTATATATGGACATCCCCAGAGCTTGTTGTTGTTGAGGTTGCATTAGGCTATTGTTGTTGCTGTCAAATTTGTGAGGTCCAGCACCTGTGAATGATAAAGTTGCCAGTGAGGTTCAAGGCCCTTCAAGCCCCCCCCCCCCCCCCCCCCCCTCTTTTTTTTTTTTTTTTTAATATATTATAATATAGGTTGAGCTATTCTGAATGTCTCAAAACGTCATAATTCTTGTAAAATTACTTTAATCTTGATTATAAATACCATTAGAGCTCTTATTCTATATACAGCTGTTAATTGTTTTCTTGTTTACGATGATTCTATATACAGCTGTTAATTGTTTTCTTGTTTAAGAATCTTAAGATTACATTAAATTCTTCCAAGAAAGATTTATCTTGTTTATTTGTCTCTCTTTTATTTTGTGCTCTTGTTTCATGTAAACTCAGTAATTCTCCCTTTTAGATGTTTTGCTGTATCGGAACATATGGTTCCTTGTTCCCCATTCTGAAGTTCTCCTCTCTTGTCCAGTTTTCTCCTTTTCTACTTTTCCCCTTACCTTCAGATAGTCCATACTTACAACAGTGCCATTCAATGTGGTTATGTCAAATCACGCATAGTAACTGAAGCAGGCTTCTTTGAAGAGGGCCAATATACAGTATCTTATACAGATTTTTGCTCATGACACCAATTATGCGGGGAGAAATGTAAACTTTTGTTACTCTGTACCTTTTTTTTTTCCTCTTCCGTCTTAACATTTCTTGTGTACTGAACCTCTTTGAATTATAAGATAAACCACTGCCCTTGTTTCTTCTCTTTGTGTTCTAACTTCTAAGTAAATTGGCATTGTGTTCTAAATTGACATTCATGTTAGACTAGCAAAAAGCAATAATTCTAGGTAAAAAGTCTTTGTTTGGATGTTCATAGAGGTATTCAGTATGAGCCAGAGTACATTTATAGTTTTTCTAGTGATATATCTTATCTTGCCTCTTCTCTTTATTTCATTTTTAGCATTAATAATACTATTATTATGGTGTCTAGGTGATGCTAATGCTAGAATGCCAGTGAGTTATCTTTTTTCTTTTGTGATGTTGATGTGAAATTGGCCAGTAAGGCAGTAATATTACCATGCTCTTCACTTGTGATAGAACTTGGTAAGAAAACTGCCTCAAATTTATACTTCCTAATATGCTGATGCAAATTAGAGGCATAAATTTCATTCTGTCAGAGGCTCAGAGCTAGTTTTTTCTTCTGAAGGGAAATTGTGTTATGCCTCTGTAGTATTGTCTGAATATATACCTTTGCTCCTTTTTTCTCTCCCTTGTGTTCATTTCATTGGCTTTGAGGAGGGGGGGGGGGGGGGGTTGGTGGAGATGGAGGTGGAGCCTTAATGTTAATTGCCTTTGGCTTATGTCAGATCTCACTGAAGAAGGATCTCAAGTTAGTGCACTAACTTTAGTGTAGACAAGCACTATGTAATAATTTGTATGTGGAAGGGTTGTAAGATATCCTTATCTGATCCTTTATATAAAACAATATTAGATCTAGGAAGTGAAGATAATATTATGTTTCTCTTTATTTTTGGTTAATTTGCTCTCTGCCTTTAACGTTGTAAATCTTCCTATTGTCCCTTTACATGAATTGAACTCTTACCGTTCCTGTTGGGAGACTGGTAGAGTTGTTTTGTTTTGGATTGAAAACGATGAGTGCTTTATCGAATGAAACTTTTTCTTGGTACCCTTGAGGGAACCAATGATAATCTTTAATGTTCATATGGCTGCCTAATCTTGTATGATGCTTATTACCATAGGAGAGTGACCAGAGTGTTACTTGTTGAGTTGGTGCTGATTTATAATTGACAGCATGACAGAGTGAACTAATTTGCTATGTGTCTATTAATGACTGCAGCTATCTCAAATCAATCTAATATCTTGGAGAGCACTGCTTGTCTACTCATGCAGAAAGGAACAAATTCAACTATTGCGATGCATGCCCTGGAAGAAGTAAACTGTGATACTGACGTGAGGTATCAATGACAATACTTTAATATTTGGTGATCGTGAATTGGCCTCTATCTTCCATCTGTGATTGGTTATCAGCTAAATTATCCATTTGCGGCTGTGATTTGCTTTTATAGCATTGATTTAGGCTTAGAGTTAATACCCTGCCAACCATGATACGTCATTTTATGGCTTAGAATGCCATAAAAAGTCTTCGAATCACAATTCTTATAATAATGCTTTAAATATCTTGATTAACAATATTCTAAGGCTGCCTCTTCTATTCTGATTTCTACAAACATGCATCGCACTAGAGATATTTAATGTATTTTTTTTAAACTATTTGTACAAGCCACTGCATATTACGACCACAAAACTTCTCATCTAATTTGGTGCCCTAACAGAAAAATATATTCATATATTTTGTGTAAACCTTACAAAGCAAAGGACATGCGAGGGATCAAGTACTGGTTATACCTAATACATTTGTTAAGACTCTAGTCTAAAATTTTATCTTCTAATTCTATTTTGGGGAAGCAAAGTGAAACCTGCTACACAAATACACAATACTAATATTTTGATCAGTACTAATTACAATGTGAAAAAATTATTAAATAAAAAAAAGCGTAGTTGATGCATGTCTTTTACTTTATCTTTTTTACCCCTATGGCATGCATGGTTTCCTTCATGCAATCTCGGTAAAGGTTGCCATAATCCTTCCATTCAGCTTTTAAATATTTTAAAATCTTTTAGAATTATGCCGTTATCCTGTTGAGTGTTGACTAATCAGGTTAAAGCGTTTGTTTTCATTATTTAATGTTTATCTGAAAATATTGTAAGTCTGTCACTTGATGTTATTCTCCTCTTAACCCGTGATGAAATTTAAATTAACGAGCTGATTAATATCTTAGGCTGTGTTGCATAAAGGGAATTAAAGGTTTTAAGGTACTGGGAGGTGGGGATAGATAATTTATATAGGAAAATCACCATCTCATGCTATTTTACCAAAGGTGAGATTCTCTTACTATGGTAATTAATGGTTGGGAAAATATGTTATTTTTCAGCTAGAGCTTAGATGCATTCACGGGGTTGAGATTCTTTAACTTCCTTTTTTTGTTTTATCATTTGAAGAAAACTTTCCATGAAAAGAGTGGTGGTTTAAACCTGCTTTGCGCACTCCTTTGTTTTATGTCTAGACACTCATCATAAGTGTTTAGTTATTGAAAATGCTGTCCAATATGGTTTAATTGGAAGCTAATAGTGACAAGTTCGTGATTGACCAGTTTCATTTAGGGGAACTGTAACTAGTTACTTTTTATATTACATTGTGTGCAAATGTCTGAAGTACTGTGTTCCATTAGCAAACGTACTCGTATGTATCGCCATGACCTCTTATAATGACCTCATAAGCTGTACTGAATTCATCAAGCATAAAGGGTGAACTTCAGAAAGATCATCCTGTTATGTGTTTTACTTTTTTGTATATATGGTTCTTTGTGACTGACTCTTAATTTCTGTAGCATCCGTGAGAAGAGAAGACCTAAAATCCTTATATTTCAAAGTCAAGACTGAAATTATACTCCTGAAGTCGTGGATCATATTCTGCATAAAGCCATAAACTGACTGAAGACTTTAAGACGACATTAACTTTGGCTTTAAGCAACAAAAGTACATGATGAACAATGGTTTGTCCTTACTCCTGAGGTAGATTCAGAAAATCAGATGCTTTATCATATTTCAATAGAAGATTACAATTGTATAATGTGCACTAATCTGAAGCACTTCTCTATTACTTCGTATATACTACGTATCTGCATTCCAGCTGGTAAGTTAGGTCACTTAGAGAAAAGGGCTATTTGCCTAACTAGTTAAAACAACTAATAGGGGCGAAGTGTTCTATATAGTGTTAGACTTGGGGTTGAGAGTGCTATAGCCTATAGGCATTTCTCCGCATTAACTGTTAGGCAACTAGTCGGACTCTACTACAAATACTCCGTACACTATAATAACTGAGTATTCGGCTGAGAAGTCAATAATGTGCAGCTGCTCTTTTGTCTTAAATACACTTTTGTGGGGTTGTATAGTGTGCACATGTGCAAGGAATCCCAGGTTTCCATTTTTGTGTTTGTGATTTGTGTATCCAAAATCAGAACCAAGTTGGCCCTACGTCAGAAACATTGTGGTCTACAGTCGACATGTTCTTGTTGGATCATAAATGAATGAACCAACAGGCAGTTTATATACTATAGTATATAAACTGTAACTCTTACAATAAGATGCGCAACTTTTGGATGTGTAGATCATATCTTGTAATGTGAAAGAATGAAGTTTATGCACTTGTATATTGTATCTTGTAGAAGCTAGATCCAAGTCGAAAACCTCATCATTGAGGATCTACAAACTTGATTATGTCCTCATATTTTCACTTTTATTTTTGACAATTAGAATGTAAACATTATGAGTTGTTGGTGATAATGATGTGTCCAAATTGTTAACAAAGTGTGGTTAAGTAAATATATATATGTTGGTTGGATGTTATTATTTGAATAAGCTTTCGTTTTTGTACGGTTATATTAATAATTGTTTTTCATTTTTGTATAGGTAACATAAACATTGTCAATTGATAGGGAAGACACTCGGGTCATTAAATTCAATGATTCGGGAGATTATCTTTTACCATCTGAGCTAGTAAAATGAGATAGTGGGATACTATTTGCTTTACGCAATAGACGTAATTAATAATTAATGATATTAAGCCTTCTTAAATCGTTATTTTAGTACTCCGTAATAAATAAATAAATTACTATTGAAATATAGAATTTCTGAATTAGCATTTCGGGATTTATTCTAATTCTCTCCTATTTAAAATTTAGGACTTATTCTAATTGTACTTCCTCTTGATAATTAGGGGTTGGACCTTTTACAATAAACTTTTGGATTAATATTATACAACTATCTTTTTTGCGGGCATTTTGGTATGTGAATCTATTACTGAAGTTTTTCCATTTTAGGTTATAAAATGTGTCTTGACTATTGGAACTGAGGATTATTGGTAAGTTAGATGCTTTGCAAAAGTAAGGCATATTGAAGAAGCCGAAAAGAAGAATATGAGCATCAAGCCCATCAAAAGTATTGCAACAAGATTAATATTCTAGGTAAAACAAATGAATCCAGCTTCCTAAAATGTGTCTTTCAAAAAAAAAGAAAAAAAAAAAAACTAAATTCACATTAGAGAAAACATAATACTCTAGGTTACTCAATTTTAATTACATGATCTATATCGATAATGTACTACAAATACTTTATTAGCATAGATGTAAATGAGTTAATTTTAAGTATTTTAATTATAAATACTATTAACAAATTTGAGAATGGATGATCAATCCCACTCTTTAAAATCAACTTATTATCCTCAACTAAAGAGTGAATCATGTTTGTTAGTTTGACTCCTTCATGACCTTCCTTGACGACTCCTCAAATTTATGCATAATTTAACACCATAACATCTTTCATAATTCTAGTCACTAATAATAATATCTCATCAAGAAATGTACTAATTTCACTAGCAAAAAAATAATCTCATTTTAATTTTTCAACCCAATTCAAAAAGTAAACTCCATAGTCCATATTATTCAACACATGAATTTATGGTAAACAATCATAAATCAACAACCATTTTTTGTTCTTTTGAAAGAAACAACCAAGAATTTTAATCCACCTTCAATTATTTAAAAAAAAAAAAAATAATAATTAAAAAAAAAAAAAAAAACGTAGACCAGGTGAAAGACAAAAGGTAAAGTTGATCCACTCTCAAAAATCAAAATCAGTCCATCAAATTTCTCTCTCTTCTTTCTCTCTCCTCTTTATCTGCACAACTCAGTTTTCTTCAGAACACAATTACTCTTACAGGGGTAGCTGCCACGTTTTTTTCCTCCAATTTCATTATTTTTCTCTTTTTTAATACTCAATTATTTTCATGGCTGCTGCTCTTTTTCCCTCCTTCTTTCTTTGTTCTTGATTTTCAATTTCTGGGTTTTTCTGCTAAATTTCCAATTACCCTAATCATAATCAGTAGCAATTCAAAATACCCAGAAAAAATTTCATGGTAGAAACCCCAATAACACCTAAAACTCCCAGCTTTTTCAGTTTTTAGAGAGAAGAAGAAGCGAAGAGAGAGAAAAGGAGGCGGAGATGGGCAATTCATTTGGTTGCTCCGCCTCCGGTGAGCGGCTTGTGTCGGCTGCAAGAGATGGTGATTTAGTTGAAGCTAAGATGCTTCTAGAATGCAACCCTTGTCTTGCTAAATACTCTACTTTTGGTGGTCTCAATTCTCCTCTTCATTTTGCTGCTGCTAAGGGTCATAATGAGGTATTTCCCATTTCAAAAATATTTGTTTTAATTCAATTTTTTTTAGTTTTTCAACATAATTATATTCTTGGGTGTTTATTGAATTTTGATGTTAGATTGTGACATTGTTGCTTGAGAATGGGGCTGATGTCAATTCCAGAAATTATTGTGGACAGGTATTGAATTTTATTTGATTAATTTGGTTTTGAAGATGTAATTCTTGTGGGTTTTGTTGATTTTGGTGTTTTAATGGATGATTATCATCAGTTAAGAATGGTGTTGAGCTCAAAACTTGTGAATTTTTGCTTATAAAATTGTTGACTCTATGCGGAGATGGTTAATAGAGTGAAAAGAAATTTAGTAAGAGTTGATTGATTGTTTTTTCATGAATTTATTCAAAGACGGCGTTGATGCAAGCGTGTAGATATGGGCACTGGGAGGTTGTGCAAACTCTTCTGCTGTTCAGATGCAATGTAAGTTTTTGACTACTATTAGTTTACAGATTGCAAGGATGCTATTGCTCAATTTGGAGCTGTGAGTTTTGAGTTATTACTGTTGTGTTGCAGGTTACTAGAGCAGATTACCTCAGTGGTAGAACTGCTCTTCATTTTGCAGCTGTTAATGGCCACGTGAGATGCATAAGGCTGTTGTTTGCTGATTTTGTCCCAAGTGCACCGTTAGATTCTTTGAGTGATTTAAGTGCTGAGGGTGGTGAAGGTTCCAATGGGAAAAACAGGTATGACCAGTGACCATGGCCTTTTATTCATCTACCTTTCTGTGTAACTTGTGGCAGTCAGTATGATGAATTATACAGCTATGTGCCTATGTCAATTCATGTTGATTGCCATTTCTCAGACATGGATTTATGAGGAAAGTAGAGGACAGAAAGAAGAGTAGTAGACGGAAAAGAAAAACTAGTAAACACTTAATTTTGAAAATTAGCATATGTTTCTTAATGAGTTAGCAAACTGACTTATTGAGTAAAATTTGTTCAAATGAATCAAACAAACTCTAACCTTAATGGATATGTCTGTCACTCTCTCAGCACCCCTTTCAAGTTATAAGGTGTGTAGGCACTCTAAACTTAAACTTGTTGAGAATCAGTTGATGTTGAGGCCTTACGAGGGACTTATAGTTGAAATTGGATTGAGAGTGACTTGGTGTATCAGAAACTTGAGTGTAGCATATGGACTTCTAAGTTGAAGAATGATTTGCTAGCTATTTGCACGAGTACCTGTTTTAAGTCATAGAGTGAATTATATAGTTTGCAAATTTTGAAAGGACTATCAACCTGTAGATCAGGGGAAAGTCTTCACATACACTTTCTTTTTTATCTTCTATGAAGGAAGTCACTATTTACATCCAATTGATGTGCAGCCGGTAACTCATCCTTTTCTAATGGCAAGACCAAGGAGAGCTCTTACTTGTCACATTTTACCACTGAAGCATGTGGCATAAGCTTATACTTACACCAGTATTGAGTGGTTCTTATACTGATAGAGAGGTGCTTTGGAAGTTTCAAGCAAGTTTGTGTTACTAGATTCGGTTATATTGTGGTTTAATAGATGATACCTTTGGAATCAAAGTAAGTTGTGATTTCAGAATATAGGCTAGGCTGAAGACATTAGACACTTGTAAGTTGTAACTATGACATTTTGGTGGCTAATTGGGACTGCTATGTTGGGTCTTAATTAAAATTTCGCTTCTTTGAAAGCATTGCTTTTTGAGGTAAGCAATTGAGTCTAATTAGCTCTGCAAAAGTCATCGAACATGGTGCGGAAGTCATTGATGGGTGAGGATCTTTCAAGTCCACTGAATAATTTTTTTTTTTTTTTCCAAATGAGAGGTAATTAAGCCACCTTTGTCAACTTCCTCAGGATTCTGGAAGTTGCTGTACAGAAGTCAAACTTTTTTGGGGAACTTAACCAGAGGAATTAGCATTGGATTGCCTTATAGAATTGGAATTTTAATTAAGTAAAAGATGTTAACTTGTTTGGTAACTTTGGATGGCCTTATTTCATGATTCTTTATCTATAATAATGAGAAGATCCTGGCTTACTTATGCCTGTTTTAACATTTTTAAGACATTAGAAGCTTCTGTTTGTAAAGTGTTTGTGCGGTGTATAAATGAGGGGGAAAAACTGCTTGCTACTTTTTGGGGCTATAGGCATTGCCGGATGCTACTATGTTGTGGTATCGTGACTTTTGATCTGTGTGTATTGGGTATGCCCAAACTCCATTTCATTGTACCAACAAGGTATTATGTTTGGTTTTCTGGAAGGCATGCATTCTTATCATCATCTGTGATGTCAGTTGTGGTTGAAGTGTAACAATAGAATACGTATCGGTCGTACGGAGGGACTTTCTTCCTTTTTTTTTTGGTGGTTGATCATTCGTAGAACATTAGAAGTTACAAATGTAAACCAAGTTATTTTCTTTCTTGCTATGCAAATATTTTTGTCATTAGACATTATGATTAAGGTGGTCATTTTGTGTTTCAATAATTTCATCTTGGGTAGTGTGATTAGATATCCAAAAAAAATTTGTTGGGGAACAGAAAGTTTGATGTACAAGTTAATTTGAAGTATTATTTTCGAAGCTGTGTAGGCCACTAACCATGATAATTTCTACTCTTGGTGTTTTCAGTGCTCTGGCGAAGTTTGTTAATAAGCCAGCTGATGGTGGTATTACAGCCCTTCACATGGCTGCATTGAATGGGTATTTTGACTGCATGCAGCTTCTCCTTGATCTTCAAGCAAATGTGTCAGTTGTGACGTTTCATTATGGCACTTCCATGGACTTAATAGGTTAGATCTTTAATTGCACTTAATTGTCAGTTTTCCTCCCTCAAATAGTAATTGATGTTTGCATTAAAACCTGTTAATAAAATGTGTCTATAATCCACAGGAGCTGGAAGTACACCTTTGCATTATGCTGCTTGTGGGGGAAATCTGAAATGCTGTCAGGTGATCTATTTTTACCTTTTATGACTTTAAACGCATAATTATATTGTTGAGCATTGTAAAGATGTATATTTTGTTCTCAGATTCTTCTTGCAAGAGGTGCCAGTCGCTTGACTTTGAACTGCAATGGGTAAATTATCTTGGACAGCCCTTGTCAGCTTCGTCATTTCTTTAATATGTGAGCTTATTAATTGTTTGCTTTCTTTCAGATGGCTTCCAGTTGATGTTGCAAAAATGTGGGGACGTCTTTGGCTCGAACCTTTACTTGCACCAAGTTCTGATTCTATAATTCCAGTATTTCCTCCTTCAAACTACCTATCTTTGCCTCTAATGAGTGTACTCAACATAGCAAGGTAACCTCCAATATTTTATGCCGCTACTTTGGCTGTAGTTCATATGAGTGGGCTTGATAAGAAAGCCTATTGCTATTGTTGTGAGTTT